TATTGCAGTTCTGTACTGTGATTTTATTATATAATATAAATATAATATAAAACAAATATTGAATTTTTTTAATAAATATATTTTCCCAAAATTGTGGAAATAAAATTGTAAAAATAATAATAAAAAGCAGAAATTAACACTTTCATCAAGAGCCGCATGAAACTCAAAAAGAGCTGCATTTGCCCATGGTGGGTATATACCTATCTATGCTCTATTATCAGTTGGGTAAAATACACAGTATAGCATCCAATTCTATGCAAGTGCTACAAAAGAAATTGGACAGCAAGTTCCAGTGTTTAGTATGTTTGTCATGTAGACAATGCAAGATGGTAATGAACATTCCATATTATAATTATACAGATGAAGACGTGCCTGCTGTAGTGCATAGAAACTTACAACGGGGACCTAAATATATCCCCTCTACCAACACCAATCTTTCCCAGTTGGTCCCGGCCTCATTAATAGCACTCAAATCTTGCCAGGCAGCAGCCATGTATTTACAAATGGAGTTACTAGTAATTATGAAGCTTATAGCGGCAAAACAAGCATTTGGTGAGCCAAAACATCATATGGACTACTGAGCAGTAACACACTTCCTCGCCAAGGCTATCTTGAGTCTTTTATTTTCAGACAAGGACAAGAAGTTTGTACTGAGCAAAGAGAATGATGCAGGTTGGAAATAAACTTTGTAGTTTCTGGTGCATGCATGCATTTTTTATTACAGTTACAGGCTTCAAGCTTGCCAAATATCAATATACTTCATAGCGTCCAATACATCAGGTACTAAAATAATATATGCTAATGATATGCAGACTAGTAATACATATTTTCTTTTCATATTTGTACTAGTTGAGTTTAGTTTGAGTGTTCTTCATTGCAAATATTGTTTTAATTAGGATTGCATAATGGTAAGAGCAAAAAATGGGAAAATAAAATGTTGCCAAAGTCCCATGGGCTGCATATTAAGGTCTCAAAGGCCATGGGTTCAACCTGACTGTTTTATACAAAGAAAAGCTGTTGAATGGGTTCATAATAGCAAGTTAAAATCAATATATAATCCACATTATTACGTAAGCTGCACCAGCTTTCAAATTGACTTTTAATTACAGATAATCTAGAGATTGTCCATAGGAAATTATAGTTCATTGTTATTGCATATTTTTGATGACTAGTTTAAAAGATTTATTTATTTTTAATTAATTTTTAGAATTGTTGGTTTAAATTTTATTTTATGCCAATATTTTCTTGATTTTTCTAAATTTATTTAATATTTATCTAATTATTAAAATTATCAATGGCTGATTATTATTATTGCTTTAATAATGCTTTAAAACTAATATTTAGATTCTTTGGCAGCCATTACATTATTTCACATTTGGCCATTTTATCAAAGATCAGTAGTTTGAATTCATGTATTAATAGTTACCAGTTTTTAACTTTGAATAAGTTACAATTTTGTTATTCTAAAACTAAACTTATTTTAAATGGTATTCAATCTGAAAGTGTTAAATTGTAGATATTTCTTTGATATAAGAACAAAAATCATTGCTCATTTATTCATATTCAAAACTGTGCACTTGCATGTGATATACAGTCAAACTTGGATTGGTTTAAGATTTTTATAAACACTTTGTGATGTTTGTTATAGTTATGTGAATAGATATTAATATTACAATCACTACCACAATATTGGTAAAACATAATACAGGAAATTCTCATTAATTTGAACTCAGATAATTCAAAATCCCATTTGTTCGTGGCTGTACTTTTGTCCCGGCCTGGGATATAGAGATTCACATGTTAAGAAATTTGATTAGTTTGAAATAAAGCTACTTTGAACTTCCAAGTGAAAATTCTTTCCAAACTTTGATATTCAAATGTTAACTCATTCATTTAGATTGAATTACCTTCATATTATAAGAGAACAATAGACCAAGAACAACCTTAATCTGGTAAATATGACTTTTCTTTTACAGTAATACATTTTTTGGTATCACGTTACAAATGGATTACCCTTTTTTTTCCCTGAGTTCATATTTTATTTCATAAAATATGGCTTGAGTTTGGGATTGCAAGATTGGGTTACGAGTAGCAGATTGAAATATTTGTAGGCTCTAGGCTAATATATTTGGGTGACTTATTACATTTTAAAAATAATTGTGGCTGAATTTCGAGGAATTCTGCTTTACTTTGTATAAAACCTATCTGGCAATCTATGAGGTTTATACTGGACATATACTATTTACCTGCAGTTTATTCATATTATTATTATTTATTATTATTAATGAAATTTATTATTAATGAAAATAGCATTCTGTATATGTAGCTGTATTTCATTTCCTTAATAAATTATGTCAATTATGTGGCATTCAGTGTATTGTATAGAAATATGTAAATGTTGAATAATTCAAAGTCAAGATTATTTTGTCCCTTGAAATTTGAAATAATGAGGATTTCCTGTAATAAGCACACCTAGACACCAATAACGAAAAATCAATATATTTTAAACAAAAAAACATCTAAAACAGAAGAAACCTGTTTTGTTTAAAATGCCTACTCAACTAATAAAATTACCTATCTGACTAATGATTTTCTCTCTGACTACATACCTATTTGCCTTGAAATTTCTTTCTGTTTAAATTGTGCTACGAAGTGATTCCTTAATATACTCTTTTGGACCTGAATTAACTGGAAAAAAGTCACTACCCATCTTGTTCCATGAATTGGTCTTATCTAAAATCTAATGATATCACTATTAATGCAAAGTCTGATATAAAATTCTTTTATCTACTATACATAAATATTTAAAATATGGTAAAATCAGTATTTCATCACAAAAATGGTTTACTTACCATCTAAAAATAACTATGTAATTTATTTTGAAAACACTAGAACAAATGGAGAAAGTCCAGTAACCCCCATGATCTTTACATATACCATATCATCCAAAAGAAGCAATATTGTGAATGCCATACTTCTTTTCAAAACTATTTTAATAAGGTAACAGGATCTTTTTCATCTGACTCTCACACTTTTTGATCTTTTATACCACATTTTTCTAAAAGAATACCAAGTAAATTAATTCTTGTTCAAGTTGATAATGTTTATAATATGTACAATAATTTTAAAAAGACCTACCATAATTCTTCCTAATGTCATATTTTCTCCATTATTCCTTCACTTTTATTCATATAAGCTTTCGTTCTCCTTTAATGAAGTTCTTAATGCCATAGATATCTTAATTAAATAATTATAATAGCCCAGATCTAATTCCTGCTATTTTTTTTATAAATCCTTAAAACCAATATCATCCTTTTCAGATTATTTTCCATCTTTGTTCAAAATAGTTTTGTCCCCAAACAATGGCTCTCTTCCAACATTATAGCTATACCTAAAAAAAGACAAAAACTCTTTCCGTCCCATTTCCATTTATCTGCTATGATGAAAGTTTTCAAAATTTGTTTATACCATAGACTATATTCTACAATTTCTTCTAAATTAATACCATTAATACTGTGGCCTACAGCATCATTCCACCACCACCAATCTTTTGGAAACTATATCAATAATCTTTAAAAATTTTAAAAGAAAGCAATGTGTTTTCATAATTTATATACATATTAGCCAAGCCTTTGATTCTGTTGTTCCAATCTCCTCTTAATTCTCAGAGATCACTTCAAAATTGATCCTGCTTATCAATCCTGGCATAATAATAGAGAGGTCGCCCGCAACCTCTCTATTATTACGACGTACACGTTTACAGCGCGAAAACGTGTACGTCGGACGTTCATCGCCGCCTTCCTGTGAGCCTAGAAGTTTAACAATGTCATTTGGAACGTCAGTAGAATCACGCTCGACATTCCAAATGCCATTGTTAAACTTCTAGGCTCACAGGAAGGTGGCGATGAACATCCAATGTACACGTTTTCGCGTTGTAAACATCGGCCGCAACCTCGCTATTTACTACCTCCTTCATACTTGTAAAATTAAACTTGGCAATTTCAAATTTTTGGATTTCTCTCCCTTATAGAAAATGCAAGGTTTCACTTTAAGCAGCCTATTTTGTTTGTCTTATTTAAACAACATACTTGGTCATATTGCATTTTGTGTATTATCTTATGCTGACAATATTAAATTGATTAACTGTGACCCACATGTACTGTACTTCACTCTGATCTACTCCATTTATCTTCCCTTATCAAAAATGTTAATTTAAAAATTAATATACAAAAAACTGTAATCATGTTGTTTTCACTTATTCATAATCATCAGTTGCCCACATTTTACATTTACAATACAGTAATCCTATCAAATATGTTAATTCTTATAATGACCTCTGAATCATTTTTGATTGTAAACTTACTTTCAAAGGACACATTGATAAGATTATTAAATCTCTTGCTATTCATTATGGAATACTTTGACATTTTTGCAAAACTATTTCCTCAAACACATCCATCTATTTTGCAAATATGGGCTATGGCTGCCTCATCCCATTTACAAAAAATTTTTAAAAAATTAGATAAAATATTTTATTATTTTAAATAAACTCTTCTACCTTCCTTTTACCCCTAATACTAATATGGTTAAATCCAGACTGAGAATTCCCAGCTTTATCGAACATAACGTACTGAATACACTGTTTACTTTTATACAAATACTTCCATGGTTCCATTCATTCTGATTGGCTGTACCTAAGAGTTCTGCCATGCGTTACTTGTAATCAAACTTGTTTTTTACCCAATTTTTTAAGCTTTCCATTTCTTTCAGATTTTTTTTTATCAGTCTATTCAGAATATGGGTTGTTTGGAGCAATCTCTAAATGAAGATTTTATATATATACTTAAAAAAAACATAAGATATATATATATATATATATATCTTATGTTTTTTTTAAGTATATATATATCCATTTTTGTTGGTTATTGATATGTCTAGAAGTGCTTATTATAATGATAATATTATTAATTAAAACTAAACAAAACCTTTTCTCCCCTCAGTCCAGTCGAGTCGATTACTCACTTTGTAGTATGCAATCAAAAAGCTGTAATTGCTATGAAAAACAAAGTTCTCTTATGGATAGATCTAAAGAAGCCACAACAACCCGAAGGTATAAATATCTGAAGATATTCTGGAATTATTTTGAAAATCAATGATATAAAGAATTTTTCTCATTTAGAGATAGAATTATCTAGAAGCTTAGGTGATAAGAATTATTACCAGAGTCGAATATATAACATGTATCTAGATCCCAATGGAAAACATCTACTAATAAGTCTCTATAGTTCGGAAAATCTAGGTCCGCTGGATAATCTCTATTATTACAATGGCTCTCACAAAGTTTATCAGGCCAGTAAGATGAAGGTGAGTTGACTATAAATTAACTTTGAATAAGTTACAGTTTGACATTTGTCTATAAATATAAGTATTTTTTTAGGGTCACGTGATTAGTGCAGTCGGCTGGAATTTTCTGAATTCTAATGAAAGCACAAGTAGCAACATTCTAGTTGGAACAACTAAAGGTATAAACTGTATACTTATAAAATATTTAAAATTTACATTTCTTCCTTGAATTCACATATTTTATCAAATATTTTCTATATCCAGTTATTTCTAATACATTTCTTGTGTATCAAGTAGAAGTAAAAAAAAAACTACTTAAATTTTCAGTTTAACTTTTTATCTCTAAATCTAAGTCTTCTGAGAACATATAATTATTTATTTTACACACTAGGTAATGCATAAAGGCAAAGTTAACTCTCCACAATTAACAATAACAACAATTTCCTCAAAGTTAAAACCGTAATACAAAAATAAATAAATAAAACAAAAAAATGAACAAAAGAACTATTATAAAAATGGTAAAACCTTTACAAGACATGATAAAAAAAAATAGTACAAATATAAATTAAATTAATAGTTAACATAATAAAATATATGTATAATTTTATAATTAAGATCAACTAATGGAAGATTTAAAATTCTTGAAAATTTTTATTAAGTGAAAATTATATTATTAAATCATCAAAGATAATATAAGATTGGTTTTGAATAATAGATTCAACTTACAACTTTTAAGGAATTGTACCAATAGTTGGTTGTCTTCTTAAATTTGTGAAGTTTGTTGAATCTTTTTATCTTAAAGTTCTATAGTTTATATAAGTAGCAAAACTTCATCGACAAACCACTGTATGATATGGTTATCACTTATTGCTATGAAGGAACCAGATTCAAATCCAGACCTTTTAGTCATGTAAAGTATGGATTGGTACTTTATTCCCTGATACTTCATTTATGATAACAATGTATTGCAGAACAGGTTTGCTTGTAGATATTATAGTTAAACCTGTAATTAAGGTATATCCCTTCATTTGAGAATAAAGTTTGCTCATTCTTGTTATCAGAACAGAACTTAATTATGGCAAGAATAAATTAATAAATACTCAAAAAAGTTAAAATGATTCAAAATTTTACTTCTAAGAAATTACAGCTGAGAAAGAAGATATTATTTATTTATACAATTTTAATGTATACTATTTTATAGATTTTTTTTTAACTTTTTGTGACATATTCCATTATCATTTAGCTTTGCACAACAGATTAGCATAGAATTAATTTTTATATTATTGATTTATACTTTTTTGTATATTACTTTAAACTTACATAATACACCCCAAATTCCAGCAGCAAAGTGAAATATTTATGATGTTGAACAAATATTTTTAGTAGCCTTAAGCCCTCATCTTCAGGTTTTATAATCTTTTGAATGTAGAATGATACTTGTAAAGAATGTTTTAATTTTGAAAAGTGGTATGCCACATATTGCAGCCAAGGGCCCATTTGTAACAGAGAAGGTAGAACCTCCAGCAAGTTACATAAAAGGGACTCTACTGCAATGATTGATGACATACTAGCAAGAGCACGGATCCTCAGTACAGTAGGTATGTTGACCTATGCCTTTGTGCCTGAAGTTGGCTGAACTACAATCAGCTGTAATTGCATGCTGACCCAGGTCCTTACAGAATACAGGAAGTTTTCCCTTGGAGATAGTTGCTGCTCCTGTGGTTGTCTGAGTGGTGACACGAGGCACTACGTTTTTGAGTGCCCCTATACAGATGACTTCCATAGAAGGTCTAATCCCACCATACCCAACCTGCTGCTTGCTGAGCTTTTGTGAGTGGCCCAGATGTGACCTGTAAATAATGCAGTTAAAATATGAATTTTGAAATTTTTGTGGCAAAAAATAGATTTGGTCACTCCACCCACACCACTAAGTCCTTTTTGTCCTTAGAAAGTTGTTACCAGATGTCCAAGCATTGTGAACACATGGTGGCCATCAGGGGGTAATCCGCAAGGGACGGTAAAAGTAGAGCTAGACTTAGTAATTGACTGAGACCTATAGCACCTACACGCGATACCTATCCTGTGTTGTTCCTGAATATTTTCGTGTTGACCTCATTTGTTGACCCTGAATGTATTCATGTTTGCATCGGAACATTTTTGATACTAGATGTCGCTCTGTGTCATAATTTTTATATTAAAATGAACTTTAGAAATAATTTTTTGTTTTTATATTTATTAATATATCTATTTTGTTTGTGAAAAATAAAAAAATAATTTCGGATGATAAAATAGTCACGATTATTATTTTAAAAAAATACTTGTAATTTTCATTAGGCCTAACATTGACGAAAATTCAACATGGCATCAAGAATTTCAACATCAAATAGGTTAAAGTCGTAAGTCATAACAGGTCATAACTTGTTTGTTTTGCTTGTGTCATGTGACTCTGTAATTGTTAAAATACCTTAAGAGTTATAATTGAGTAAACAATAAATCACATTGAATTACTGACCATTTTATTTAAGAAACTGTAATTTATAATTATTAACAACCATGTCAGGAGTGTCTTCCAAATACAAACGGAAAATGTCTGACAAAAATAGATTGTTTCAAGACAAATGGGAAGCTGACTATTTTGTAGTGCAAAACAAACACGGTTTGGCAATTTGTTTGATTTGTCGTGAAAGTGTTATATTAAAAAAATGTAATATTGCTCGTCATTTTAACACTAAACATAAATCATTCAATGATACTTTTCTTCCGGGATCTCTCATAAGACACGAGAAATTGGCTATTTTTAAAGTCACTGTAAAATCAACAAAATATTATGTCTGTGGCAGTAGTACAAGATGCAGCTGTAACAAAGGCATTGCATGAAATTTGTTATATACTTGGTAAACATGAAACTGTTTACTGATGCTGAAATTGTGAAGGAATGTTTTTTAAGCACTTCCAATGTACTGTTTGATAAATTCAGTAACAAAAATCAAATAATTTCGGAAATAAACAAAATCCAGCTTTCAGATTCTCCCTGTGTTTTAGAAGTTATAACTGTGTTAGACGTATTGAAGATATTGCAAACCATATTTGTGATAAGGTAATTGAAGACTTGAAAAGCTGTAAGTTTTTTATTTTAGCTTTTGACTTTAGCATGGATATTGCAGTGATATCACAATGCTCGGTTTTGTTAGATATTGTACAGAACAAAATTCAATTTGCAAAGATTTTTTTGAAATTCCTTCCAATGAAAGGCCAGACCAGGGGCAAAGATTATCTCGATACTATTTGCAATTTTCTAGAACAGATCAAGATAGATATTAAAAAAATTAGTTTGTGTGTGTACCAATGGCTGTCCTTCAATGACTGGATCTGAAAATGGATTTATTTCTCTACTGAAACAGAATTATGATTTGATACTAAATATAGAACCTGTTACTGGTGTAATTTTGCATGAAAAAATCTTCCTTTCACAACGTTTTCGAGCTGTCGAGATAGCTCTTCTTCAAGTAGAGAAAAAATTCCGACGGAACACTTCGAAAAATGGAACATAGATATTTAAATAAAAAACCGAATCTAAAAATAGAACGCAGATGTTTAAACGAAAAATCTGAAACTCGCATAACAAAAAATCATTAAGATGGTCATGCGCATTCGTGCGCTGATGTTGATATTTATAGATTGTCATTTATGAGGGCCTGCCACACTATAGAAAGATTAATCTCATCTTTCCGGTTTATACATGTGGTCAGGTGGTTAGCCTTGCAGATGGATATAGTTTCCCGCCATTTTAGATGTTCCAGGTGGTGCGTAGCGTCGATGATGTCAGCTTTATCGAACTCCAGTTCTATATCGGGATCGGATGCAAAGGTGGTTAGGGCCGTGGTATACTACCCATGCCGAAGGTCTGCTTGATGCTTTTGTACTCTGGTGTTTAAAGATTGCTTGGTTGAGCCGATATAGACAAGGTTCTCGTTACATCTGTTATCTTTCAGCGGGATAGAGTACACGCCAGGAAGCCTGCTACAAACCGGACTGCCTTTTCCATTTCTGAGGATGTCGTAGATTGTTGGGCATCTTCTATTAGCTATTTGTAATTGTTGTTTTCCGGCGATCTCAGCGTATATTGCTTTAACGTATGGATTAAAGGTGACTGGGAGGTGTGTACGTTCATCCTGGTCAGTATTGGTCTTCGTACGCTTAGTGGGTGCGTATTGTGAGCATTGATGTCGCTCAATTAGACGGTGTGTTAGACCATGATAACCGTGCTTGGCTGCTATCCTCTTGATATAATTCAATTTGGTGTTCAGGACTTGCGTGGTGGACGAGTGGGAAAAGGCCCTTTTACATCGGTAACAGGTTCCGTATTTAGTATTTTATCCCCGGTATCAGAGTGAAGTTGATTCAAATATGATTTGACAAATCTAATAACATTTCATTGCATCATTTATCAGGAAAACTTGGCTTCACATATTGTTAATCCTGAAGTAGATACTGTGATGAAAACTGTCATAAATATAGTGAATTATATCCGAGCATGAGAACTGAACCACAGAAAATATAAGTCTTTTAGAGGAAGTGTGTAGTCAATACAATGATGTTCTTTTACATACCTCTGTATGTTGGCTTAGCAGAGGAAAAGTTCTGGAAAGTTTTTTTTCTTTGCAAAAAGAAATAATGCTGTTATTACAGCAAAATAATAAAATTTACAGTGAACTGCAAAATGATGAATGGTGGTGTATTGTAGCATTTCTGTGCGACATTACAGAGAAGCTTAACAGTCTCAATACTGGCTTACAGAGTAAAAATAAAATAATTTCACAGATGGTGAATAAAATATTTGCCTTTGAAGAAAAATTAAACATTTATTACCAAGAAACACAAAACAAAATACTGCGAAATTTTCCAACCATGACAAATGCTAAGCAGGATGGTATTAATATTTCTCCAGAAAACTATACAATTTTTTCAAATTATTTAACTGCGTTATCTGAGGAATTTAAACATAGATTTTATGATCTAAGAAAAATAAAAAATATGCTGTTGCTCATTGAAAATCCCTGACTCTTGGAACTGGCAATAATATCAGAACTGGCTGATATATTTGCATGTAATTATGCAGAGCTATTTGACGAATTCATTGAGATGAAGAACAATACACACCTGGAAGCTATTTTTAAAGAAAACAGAGCAGAAAATAATTACATTGACTTCTGGAAAGTAGTGCTCAAATGATATAAGACTGTAAAAAAATGTGTTCAAATTTTACTTATGTTGTTCGCATTAACGTATCTATGTGAATCATCATACTCAAAAATTAAATATGCAAAGAACATATGTAGAAACCAGTTTACTGATTCACACCTGGATGCCATTTTATGAGTAGCATGCAGCAGTTACAAGTCTGATTTAAATGAAATTGTGAAAAAATATTCGCAATATATATTCTGACAGTCACACTAAATTTCTAGGGTAAGTGAGAAATTATGTAAGTTTTATATTATAATTGTTATGTTGCGGCCCACGTGTAATAGTTTTCATGTGTATGTGGCCTGAGAATAAACAAGGTTGAGTATGGTGGGTCTAATCACATAGATTGGAACAAGCCTGAAGACCAAGTACTTTGAATGCTAGCAGCAAGTAAAGCAAACTTAGAGACATTAAAGAAATTGATGGAACATAATTGTGAAAAATTATTATGTAATATATCTATTTATATCTATGTCAATTTTAGGATCATGTTTTATACCAGTGTAATATTCTAAAAAATGGAAAATAATAAAAAATAATCATTGTTTAATGGTGTTATGTGTCAGTTAAAAGGGTTGTAAATTAAAACCAGCTGAGGAAGACAGTGTTTTTTTTGTTTTTGGTCAAAAATGCACACTGGAGTTTTACTTGTTGCAAAGTTTCAATTGTTGAATAAATATATGCTAGTACAGTAGAGCATCATTTATCAGAAAGCATTCCAGTCGACAAATTTAAATATTCGCTAGTGCTGTGGCGCTGCAATCTTTGGCTATGTCTTGGGCTACTCAAATATTTTACGTTTTTGATACTAAATTAACTTCTGAAGTATAATTTTTTATTGTTTTTATATTTTTCAATATATTTATTTTGTTTGTACAAAATAAAAAATTAATTTTTAATGATACAATAGCCACGATTATTATTTTAAAAAGTTTTCGTTAGTCTTAACATCGACGAAAATTCAAAGTGACGCAACACGCAACGGAGAAAAATTTCAACATTTGATAGGTTAATATATTTTTTCATACATAATCGGTTATCTGAAAAATAAGTTATCCGAACAATCCCAGTCCCCAATTGATTCGGATAAACGATGCTCTACTGTATATGATAATTCTGTTGTTGGTTGTGTTTAAACCAAATGTATAATTGATTAAAACTAGTTAAATATCAGTAGATTTATTAACCAAATAAAGTTAAATATAAACATTTTTATTTTTGATATTTTCTTTATTCTAAATATATGAAATTGAAATATACAATATTTCATCAATTTGGCATAATTTTGGAATTCCAGGTTTAATAATTATAAAGTATTTGTTTGTTAGGTTTAATATTTGAAACAGAATTAACATCTGCAGATGAGAAATTCTTTTTCCAGAATCAGAGCCCCGAACAGTATTGGAAGCAGGTATATTATTACAACTACTTACACTCAATATCTAATATTAAACAGAATGAACAATTGTTTACTTTTAGTACTAATTCTTTAATTATTCTTTTTCAGGTTTTTGATATTGGACAAAAGAATGCCACAAAAATAACTGGTCTAGAATTTCACAGAATACCCAGTAGGATTACAGAACAAAAATATTTTATTATAGCAACAACACCCAAGTAATTGTCTTTTGATAACTTCTTATAATGGTTATAGTTGTTTAACTGATCTATTCCTACAGTCGTCTGTACCAATTTGTGGGAAACGTACCAACCACTGGAGAAATGCCTATATTGATGCACATTTTCAATAATTATACAGATATTCCTGGTAAATTTTAATTTAAAATGAATATATACAATAATGTACAATGTTTTCATCTCATAATGATTTTTTTTTTTTCTGTTTACAGAACGATTTACAGAAATTCCTGGAAATTTAGATTATAGTAAATTACAATTTTATTATCCAAATCACAGGGGTCTTCCAAAACACTTTACTTGGCTAACAGGTAAATACAGTCATTTTATTCATAAAATTTAAACAATTTACATTATTAAAAAAAATTATAAACAGAACCTGGAATTCTGTATGGAAATATCAGTTGTGACAGTCAAGCGGGAGTTGATTCGGTGATTACGGAATCAACTCTGATACTGTATCCTTTTTGTTTTTTTTTAATTTTAAAATAATATATTTAATGCTTAATGTATAATCCTTAATAAATCAGTACTCAAGAAGACAAGGATAAAACAAAAATAAGCATGCAAGAAGATAAAAATCAAAAGAAATGTCCATTAGGTATCGTTCTAACTGAATTTCACGTTTTGGTCCTTTATCCTGATAGGTAAGTTTTTATATTTTAATATAATTGGATGTAAAATCAAAATATGTTGACTTATATAAACAATGCTAATAATAAAATAAATATTTTATATGTATTTATTTTATCTACTTTGATAAAAATAAATATATATCAGTCTATGATGTATTAATGTATTTATCATTTATCATGTTTTCTTATAACTTGCAGCCAATTACATATTTGTTCTAAATACATTATTATTATTATTGTTAATACAATGAAATCTGTGTAAACCAATGTGAACCGAGGAAGCGTGGAGCTGTGAACTCGTCCCCACTTACCAGCTTCCTTGTAAGGTGATGGCTAGGAGGACTTTATCGAGTGGGGAGGCGTGAGTAAGTCGACAAGGTGTCTGTAAAGAATTATAGACAGGTCCACAGGTTCAACAAATAACACCTTTAATATACACTAAGCCTAATACATAAGGTTATCTAAATTTAGATACTAAGGATGTGTTACTGCTACTTGGCTATAGCATTACTGCTACTAATAGAACTATTTAACTAAAGAACCAAGAGAGAGTTTACAATTCTGTATATGTCGTACCTTATGGTCCTCTGGTTCTGAATCTGGTTGTGTAGGACATCGATAAAACGCTCCTGGATTGGCGGGGTTGACCAGTAGACTTCCTTTATGAGAGACAGCAATTATGGTGGGAAGGCAAGGGTGGCGACAGACGGAATGGCAGTATCAGTCTGGTGTCCCCTGTTTATGTCTGCCCGGAGGACTGTGTTCCAGCCCTTTTTATACCCATTTTTGGGAGAGCTGACTAATGCTATGTATGATGTAACCTGTTCTAAGTTTGATTTGTGTCCAGGCTAGTTTATATTAATTGTCAGAAATCAAACATTTCTTTAAATTTATTACCTCTTTCTATACAATATGATTACTCGTTGTCATAAATGATACCTCATAAATTTGATAACAGCTGTCGAACAAACTGAATTAATTGCTGGAGGTGACTAAGGTCAGAGTTTGTCTTGCAACCTTAGTAATAAATGTTACTTTGTATGATCATCTGATCGGCTTTATCGGTTTCAAAATTGGACAAAATAGGAAGTGTGTGGTTTTGTCATCCTTTCCCCATTTGACCTTTTGATCTCTGATTTCTATGTCGTAGAAAATTTAATTAATCATTTATTTAATTTTTTATTATTTCTAATTATCCTCTTTGTTTTTTCACTCTCCCATTTGGATGTCACACCAGAATCAAATGATTTTTGTTTTGTCAGGTTTCTGTTTTGAGAATTTTATTCTTTTTTCTATCTTTAATCTATACCCGATAAATATTACACATTTCTCCAGTGAGAGGTTTATATCTTATATAAAACAAATTTATGAAACAACCTGATTTTCAAATGCTAAACCTGCTTCAGGTTTAGCATTTGAAAAATACAATGTTTTGAAATTCCACTACAGAATGTTTAAATACATTCTATGATGTTAATGTTTAAATTTAAAATATTCATATAATAAGAATAAATATACTATTAAAATACAAAGTGTAACTTAAAGATAATGAAAAATTATTATTGAATATAATTAACCACAGAGGGTGCCTTTTATTTCTTGTGCCTTAATTATCTCATAATTATCTTCTTGTGCCTTTTATCTCATTGTGCCTTAATTATTTCTCTAAATATAAAGTTGCCCCTTGTTTGTTATTGAAAAATGGCCTCCTGGCACTGGAAATAGAATTAGAATCTTTATAGTTAATGATTTCATTTTTACTTTTCCAGCTCTTGTTATATCTAATTTTTCTTGTTAGATATGCATGGCAATTGGTCAAAAAAATGACCCCCTCAATATTTTGACATTTTTGGACTTGGTACCTTGAAACTTCAAGAAATGCACTTCAGGGGGTTTTTCTGTATGTGTTTGTTTGTGTGTGGGGGAGGCATAGTTTTGTTTACTCTCTTTAACTTTAATAACTCCCATGCTTATCAAAAATTTCAGGAATTGTTTAGGGCGGTTTGGATATTGGGGGCATTGATGCTGTTAAATTTGATGATAAAAGTTTAAGGAGGGGATATAGGGAGGTCATGTGTCATACCTAGAGTATGGTTGGACTTAATGAAGATTTTACTTGTTGTTAGCATTTACAATTTTTTATAAAACTCATCCCTACCTTCAAAACTAAGTTTTTTGCCTTTTTATAATAAAGTATAACAGATGTTGCTACATGCAATTTTAAATGTTTTTGCTGGGAAAGTTAAGCAACTTGTTGCTAGATTTTGTTTTAATGTTGCTTTGTAAGTTTCCAGTGTTTCAAGTGTTTTTAAATGATGTTCATCAGACTGGTTTTATAAATTTAGCTTCACTTTGCCAAACATTGGGTTTGGTTGTGTACTGTGCCTAAACAGTTATTGGTTTATCATTGTTGGTATCATATTTTTTTTCTTTGATATTTTGATATGGCTCAAAGAAAATAAATATGGATATTTGTGGAATCTATGTATGCAAGTTGATGTTTAGATCTTTGTTTAGTTATTGGGATAGAGTATATGCCTGATGCATTGTTGTAGTCTGTATCATCCTTATTGTTATGTAGTAACTTGTATACTGTGAGATTTCTATGAAAGCAAAGTTTAGCTTCTAAATATTTAGCTATTTGTTTGTAATTGGCTGAGAGTCAATGGTTGTAATCTATACTTATTTGCCTATTGGATGTATATAGTAATCATGTGTTGATGTTCTCAGATGTGGATGGTTCCTAAATTGATCTTTTATTCTGTGCATCAGGTTTTGTATTAGTTTTTTACTGTAACCATATGTTGCAGCTATTCTTTCTATATGCTTGAACATTGATAAGATGTTTGTGGTATCTGAGCAGTGCTATTTTGTTTAAAAATCTGAATACCACTATTTTATATGATATTCATGGTATGAATAACAGATGATAATCAGATTTGGTTACAAACATCTAAATTAACATACCCATTTAGGAGTCTAATTTCTATGTCTAGATAATGGGATGTTGTGTCACTACATTGTTTTAGATTTAGTCAGACCTTATGAATTATTATTGAGAGCTTTTAAAAACTTAGTGTTGTTTGGTTTAGATTTCCATATAATCATCATATCATCAATATACCTGGTGTAAAGTATAATATTCAGCAGGAATTCCTTTAGAATTTTATTTTCAAGTTGTCTAGCTACTAATTTGCATAAGTCACCTGACATTGGGACTCCCAGTTTTTGGAAGTATGTTTCATTATTTAAAAACTCATATAGCTTAGCACTTAAGATAGTTCTAACACTTGTTTGTGATGTAGATGCATCACTTGGGTATACATAAATAGAAAATCTTGTAGAGTATAAAAACAAGGTTGTAAACAAATAGATGGAAATAGCAATGCAGAATCCAGCACTGTGATGTGTTCATCATTCATTAACATAATTTCTTTTAACCTGCCTGATAATTTTGTGGATCTTCAATAGTGTATTTGTAATCTGTCAAGTATTCCACTAAGTTATTATGCATTTGCTTTTCTACTAACATAATTGGAGACCTTGCTTTATTCAAATACAAGAATTGAGAACTATTTGGTGCTAAAAAGTTCTTGTTCCCAAGAACTTGCATTACATATTTTTGAATACCAAGAATTCTCAGATATGATTCTTATTAGCTGGCACGACAGCAAATAAGATAATTTTATTATCTTATTTGCTGTCGTGATATAGGCGGTCGCACCCATTATATTGGTGCGACAACCAGAATGTTAGCTAACCGCATTTCAGAGCATCAATGTTCCATCAGAGAAGGCAGGAATGACACAGAACACGCCAGAATGGTACTACAACACAAACATACCCCTCTGTGGAATGACGTGGTAATATTAAAACATTGCAACCACAAAAATCTTGTATATATCTGGGAAGCCCTTATCACCAACGTATTAAAGCCTTGCAACACCCCCACACTGGATTTGCCCCCTTTGTGGATCAGTTTGTACAGTTATATAAAGTATCGCAACTAAATCCACAATATATAGGCGTATAACGCATGCGCAACATAAACGCGCATGTTTTTTATTTAAATATCTGTTTATATTCTACCGCGCATATTTTTATTTAAATATCTGTTTATATTCTACCGTTGCTATCATTCCAAATTTGCTATTTAAGATTGGAATGTTTTTTAAAAATTTTGTATTCAAAAAAGGTTCTAATGACCTGAAGAAGACGAAAGTGTATATCGTCGAAAGTGCTCGTCAATTTAGTGACATAGGTGTCTAATTTAACGCTTATATGTTAAAAGTTTTTGTAATAATTTTAGAGCCAAGAACTAGCATCTCACTCTGCATTGGAAATTCAAATCATGTTATAATATAAAAAACCAAGTTATTCTGTGATTTTCTCAAGGAATTTTAGTACTCCAATTAATTGTGAAATTCAATTGCCTCAATTACCAATTACTAATTAATATCAAGTATTCAAGTACAAGCTGATAATCAGCTCATACTCGAATACTTGGTATTAGTTAGTAACTACTCCATAGTCCAAACAAGACAAATTAACAGCATTGTGTTTTTTTATTCTCATTGTTTTCAAGAAATTACATTCTTTGCTTGTACTTGAGAACTTGATTGTTGGAAGCTCATTCAAATCTTGAAGTTCTCAATTTTTAAAAACATTTAATTTAACAAAGACAATAAAACAAAGTTGTTGTATCCATAGATCCCTCACCAAGTAATCTGCATTTTTCTGAAACAGTGCAAGCTTGTTCTTGGAATATTGCTTGTCACACTCTGTAGTAACCATTATACCCAGAGGTAATGTCACTTATTTGTTTACAATGAGCAGAATCTTAATTCTCTGCTTTTTCAAGTTAATTTATATTCTTTAAACCCAAAATCCTTTTTTATTATCTCCAGGTTTCCAGCTAATAGTAAATTTAATACAGAAAATAGCTTCACTTTGAAGCTTTATTCACTCAGGCAAAATTTTGTTTTAAACTGATACAAAAATAATTATTCATTTTATTTTATGTACAAATTTTGAAAAATAAAATGAAAATATAAACTACAAGTGGCATTAAATTTTAATTCATAGTAATTGCTATGACTTAAAATAGGGAAATAAATCAATATTTTTTAATCTCAGTTTTGATGTAATTTATATTTTTCTGCAAATGATGATAAACTTGAATTTATATAATAATAATAATGTTAAAGAGTTGCTTTATTAGCATATTAAACTGACATTAAATTTTATAAAAATGAATTACTAATTAATTATGACTACTACCTGTTATTGAAAATTTTTATAAAAGATTTAATAATAAATACACAGTCAATTTCTTTGTTATCTTAATAATAATGCAACAAGTCCTCGATTATTTCGTAATTCTTGCTGATTTTTGTTTCATCTGTTCAATGACAGAAAATGCTGGTGTAGTATGAGAAAAATTAACATTAATGTTGCTATCATCTGTAATATCAAACATTAATGCATATTTTTCTTGACAATTTTTTGTGTCCTCCTACACTTTAAAATATTTAAATTGTTACATATGATAATTTTTATTGAAGAAATAAAAACTTTTAAAAAGTTACTATTAGGTGATTAAAGTTTGAGATTAGCTCTCATAACAATGTAAAATTTTTATAGGATGAAAGCCATATGTGTGCTCAATGAACAACTAGTCTTTGAAGATGTATTTACTGTGGTAAGCAATATTTAAAATAATTATCATCTGTGTTTTTTTTTGTTTCAATAAATTATGTAAGGAAAGTTTTAAATTTATTATTATACACATTATATTATATCATTTTTTGATGAAAAGGTTACTTATGACCAGTGAACTAATCAGAAAATTTTTATTAATTTCTGTATGTAACGTCCCTTTAATCCAAAAAACTTGTTTGGTAGACAGTCTCACAGCACGAGGAATAGATTTTACTGATGCAACAGGGAGTTTCAAATATTATTCCTTGAGTTCATAGTAAATATGTCTTTCAGAATCGAGTGTTTCTCGCAGCCCGTAGTAGAGGGGTAACAGGCACTGTCAGCTTACAGTATCATTGTCTACTCTTTAACAAGTAAATTTTTTGTTTTGATCATTTTATATGTTGAATGCAACATTATAGTGTTCTCTAATATAAGAAATGCAGATTAATAAAAAAAACATCTCATTTAGAATCTTACTGGTTTTAAAAACCTGAGGAAGACCAGAGTAGGTTGAAAACGTTAGTTTTCCATTAAAGTGTTATTACTGGACTCTTAAGGTTTTCGAGTGTAAAGTATACATTCCAGTAATTCTGTAAGAAGTTGTTTTTACATCTCATTTCTTTTATTTAGTGAAGTTTATTCACTTAAAGCACATGTAATAGAGTTAATAACTGAATTTGTAAAATGGCATACACCATATTTAATGATATTAGTAAACAGAAATCTATTTCCTAATTGTGGAACAAGCAGATAAAAATCATGTGCATTCAAGATAGATACATTTATACTTTTCATTGTTTTTGACATTACAAATGTTTTTTTCAGGATGGCTTTATTAATAGAACAAGAATTACATGCAAAAACAGTGATTTTAATATTCATTCAGAATTATGATTGCAAATATACACTTGCAATTTACAGTTTGAAAATATTTGAGTTTGTACCTTTAATGTTATGTTTTTATCTGCTTGTCTCACACCAGAAAATGAATTTTCATATACAGATATAAAGTTGATGATTAAAATTCACTTGATCCTTGCAAGAGGTCAAAAAATTTTATATTAACTGGCTAGAAGAGTTTTATTTACTTTAAAATATAAATTAAAATAAAATATCCATGAATATTATATTTGCTATCTGAATGAAAACTTAAATTTAGTGTATAGTGATTAATAATGTATAATGCTCAGATCAATATTCATCCTAGTTATTCCTGAAAACAATCATTAAGTAATTACTTTGAATTAACCTGTTTAATTTTTTCATATATTATATCGTTTATAAAATTATAATTAAAAAAAAAACAGAAATTATATGAAATAGTTTTAAAAATTTTGTTATTTGACACAGTTTTGTAGTTTTAACAAAATACAGTTTAGACTGTTCTGTCTCAAATATTCCACTTCTTCCATTTTATTTATTTTATAATTTCATCTACTGTACAATGAATTGCTAGAAGAAATAAAGCAAAAACAAACAGTGAAAAAATGGACTGTTTCAATGGACAGCATTTTGTAAACTACAGAAAAGATAAGTGAGATACTCACATCACCAAATTTTCACAGCAAATTTGATGTGAGTATCTGACAGTGTAGGTCAGGTGGTGATTTTATTTTTTTTCTAGGAATTTTCTGTGAAATATTCACCAGTGCATGTTATATGCGTGAACTACTGTAGCATAAGTATTGTATGGAAAAGTTCCTGTAGAATGTAGTGATATACTTGGTTTATAATTTCTGGATTTGGATTTGAAACATTCTGTTTGAAATATTAGCTAGAACTATTTTACTCTTCCATTGTCAGTCCCAAGCCCAGATGAGAAAGGAGGGTTGGGTCTGGAGCCTGCAACTCCACCCTGTAGAAACTGTCACCACTAAATAAACAAGAAGTGAAATCACAACTCTCAGATGAAACTATTGACTCATCATCCCCTGTGACAGTGCAGGAACAAAACCATGAGGATGTCCTTTGCCCTATGCATTCAATACTAAGTGCCAATAGCATAACTAAAATTGGAACATGGAATGTACAGTCTTTGAACCAGTGTCAGTTTCTCAGGGAATTTGATAAATACAACATGCAAATCCTTGAAATTAGTGAGGGTAAATTGACAGGAAATGGAAAAACTACTAGTGAAGGTAAAACCATCTGTATTCTGGCCATAATGAAGATCACATAAGAGGAGTGGGCTTGTCCTGTTAAAGGAGGAAACATGAGTGCTGACTGGCCATAAACCTGTCAATGACTGGATTATAACAGCTCGATTCCAATCATGTAAGAACTACTGTAATCCAGACAGATGCATCCACTGAAGATGCTGATGAGAAGGATAAATATGTGTTCTATAACTAACTGCAGGATGTACTAAATGAGACTCCCAAGAAATGAGTCACGACAAGAAACTGCTTATGGGCAGTGTGAATGCTCAGTTAGGCAGTAATAGGATAGGTTTGGAGTATGGACCACATGGTCTGCTGTGCAAACAAATGATAATGGAGAATGTCTATTGCTGTTCTGCAGCATGAACGATTTGTACATTGGAAATACATATTTTGCACATAAATATATACATAAGAAAACTTGGTGTTCACCTGATGGCAACATAAACAATGAAATTGATTATATCTGTATCAACAGTTGCTGAGGTCATCACTTTGAGATGTCAGCTGTCTTTCAGAGATTATGCTTAATCTGGCCCACATGAGCAATTGGTACAGCAACTAAGGTACACCTCTACAACACCATTGTCATTCCAACTGCAATCTACGCCTGTTAAACAAGGAATGACACAAAGAAAATTACTCAGAAATTCAACATATTCCATCAACACTATCTTTCAAGGATATGGTGAAATATCGGTATAATGAACACCAGTTTAACAAAATTTTTGATATAATGAATATATCTTGAATCCCCACTAATTTCCTATTTGGCTCAGTGCAAAAATGTTTCAGTTTAATGAATACCATTATAATGAAAATTGCAGTTTAATGTAATAAAAATTCTGTCCATTATAAAAGAATAGTTTTATTATAACAAAATCTATAAATGCATAAATCATTCATTAATAGTAAATGATGAATATTATGTCAAAATCTGGCAACATTAATTTTAATGTCTGGTTCAACTGTCAATGCTAATTTTAATCCTTAGTTATGGTTTTGTTTTGATGCTATTACTCTACAGTTTATTTTTTTTTAAGTTGATGAGAAAAAATGGAGAAAAATAAAAAAGCAGTTTTCTTTGGAAGAGAATATCAAAATATTAGATGACATACAAACAGGAATTAAACAAAAAGATGTGCCTGATGACCTACTGGAATGTTGTGTCACAGTACTTGATTTTATCAAAAAAGCTTTGATTAAAGAAACAGCACACACAAATATTAGACTTTTTTAGCAGAAAATAACAGTTTCACGTAGAGAAACAATTAACAGGGAGGATTCCAAGTAATTGTTACTACTATATTGTTATTTTAGTTATTTGCTCATGATCTTTTCTGATAATTTTTTATTGAGAACTAATTTTTATTCTGTATTTAATATAACTTACATTTTGAAAATATAAAATTTGATTTCATTTAAATACTAATAGATAAATTGCATTTTTAAAAACTTTCTTACTACAAAGTGTAAGAGATTTTTTTTATTATCAATAAATTTTTATCCTTGCATTCTTGACTGTATTTCAATGTAATGAAATATAACAAATATATTTTGATGGTCCCCTCAATTTTGTTATACTGACATTTTACTGTACTTAGAATTAGATATCATGACCACATCACAAACGAGGGACTCTTCAGAAGTGGCCTACAGAACTACAGGACATTGTTATAGAGCAAAGAATGCATTTTGCAGGGCATGATAGACATGTGAACATGTCTATCTTGTCTACGTCTGCTTTTATTTTTATTGGATATACCATTAAAAGAAAGCATAAATAATTCATTTATGTGATCAATTAAAGGATGAGGAAAACTTATAGATTATCTTAATTTTTTCTGTTTATTTTAGATGTATGGACCAATGATAGACATTGTTAAAGATCCTGTGAAGCTAACTATATGGGCATATTCTGAAGGTGCTATCTACAGATATAAAATTGTTAAAGAGGAAAGGTTAGTATCAATTAATGAATTTGTTTCTAACATAAAAATTAGTTTTGTAAATCTTACATCAAATATAATTTAATAGGAACATTGTAAATGTTTAGTACAACTTAGAGATCAATAATTTTAAATAGTTTCAATTGATCAACAATAATATTTCTTACATTTAAATTAATGATTTAGATGTGATGTATGACAGTAAACTTACCTTTGAATTTCATAGATATAAACTTATTAGAAATCTTGCAATAATACAAGGAATGTTCTGGTGGCTTTGTTAAACTATTTTGTCTGCAATTTTTTTACAAACTTTTAGTCAATCACAGATTGCTGTCTTTCAATATTAATCTTCAATTGCTCCTTTGATATACTGTATAATGTTACAAAAGTCTTGCAAAAGTTTTTTCTTTTACTGAAGAATTATACCATTTACTATAAATGGACTTTGTCAATCTTGCAACAGCTTTCTGGTATTAATGACAGAATAATTTATTTGAACCAAATTTTATTCTACAAAATTTACAATGGTTTATTGTACCTGATAATATATATTTTTGCATTTCTGTTCTCTCTACTAGAAATCACTCTTGTTTACAACATACAATAGATTTCCATGCCACTTAAGTATTTTGTATAGACTTTTACTATGTAACTATAGATCATATGAAAACTTTGAGGACTTTTTGCATCTTGCATTTTCTAAACACAAATTTATTTGTAAAAATAAGATTTGTGATGCAATTTTAATGTATTTTTAAAATTATTTTATTAATTTGTACTCCATTTATTATATGTGGATTGTTATTAGGCTGCAATTTGAAAAATTATAGACCTATAAATTCCCACTATTGCCCATCCATCTGTCTGTCTTTCTTAATCTCAAGAATGGAGTTATATAGATGAAAGACAAGACCAGATATGAAAATGTTAGGGGCAGGAGGCCCCAATTAACTATATAAGAAGTTCCAATGCAAACTGGAAATCACATTATTTCAATTAAAAAATTTACGTCCAAAATGTGTTAGATGACAGGAATGACTCTATTGTTAAAGGGAAAGTATGATGTACAGGGGCAAGCCACTACTAATTTGAGGTGGAGAGCATATATTTTAAGTTAAATAAATTTAACTTATAATAATATATTATTAAAAATTGCAGCCTGGCATTGTGACCATGTCACAATAAATAATTGCTAGTTTTTATTTATATTTAATGTCATACATGAAATTTTATTATTGTGTAGATATCTTTTAATTTGTTATGCACTTTTGACATAATCTTATTTGGAGCCAGATTTATGGTAATCTTATTTGGAGCCAGATTTATTTGTACCAGTACATGGTAAACAATAAACTATAGCTTAGCGTCTTATTTTGGTATCAAGGACTGTTTTTACATATTGCCTGGTATTATTTAGTGGAGGACGAAGGGCCTCTTGTATGTTGTAGTGTAGGGCCACCATAAGTCTAAATCTGTTTCTGATATTATTGTTGTTCTGTTTAATATGTCTTACTGTATATGTAGTTTGCCTTCATTATTATTTTATGTTGTTGTTACTGTTTTTTTATATTACTGAGGAGGCTTTAATTGCTCCTCAACATTGCATTAATCCTATGAAAGTACAGAATATTTGAGTGCCAATTTTTGAAAAATTTGAATATCAGTTCAAAATGATAAGAAAATACAATTTGCTAAAATAACAAATGATTGCTGGATTACATCAGGTATATTAATGCTACTAAATAAGTGTCAAGTAATTTGGCTTAGAGGTCAGCATTAGGTGCCATCTCTTGATAAATTTAATTATAATTATTAAACTTATCAAGAGATGGAAACCTAACACCTACTTCTAGGCCAAATTATTGAATACTTGACATTTAATTAGTAGTTAGTAACATTAATATAGTCCAATATAACCTGATAATTATTTGACATTAATCTAAAAATTGGGTTTATGGTTGTTTGTCACTAATATAATAGAAAATGTTTTGGAAGTTTGCTTAGTATTATAATTCAAATATTTGTTTAGTTACATGTCTTAAGTTTATTTTTGTAAAACTTTCTAAATTTATATTTTTATTGATTGCTATTGCTTTTGTTTTCACTTTTTAGAAATGTTTGGGAAGTTTTCCTTCAACAAAAAGAATATGATTTAGCAAAGAAATATTGTCAGGTTAGTCTTATAAAACTTTTAACTATTCTAAGTTTAGTTGAAAATTAATATCTAATATCTCTTCCACTTTTTAGGATGATCCATCAAAGTTAGACAAAGTGTATTCTAAACAAGCAGAAGATTATTTTAACAATGAAAAGTAAATTAATTTATTATTTTACTTTTATTTATACATACATAAATTAGTTGCTGTCTGAAAGATGTTTGTTTTTATAGTTACAAAGAAAGTGCTGTATTGTATGCAATTACACACAATTCCTTTGAAGAAGTAGCTCTGAAATTTTTGAAATTTGAACAAGAGAGTGCCCTTAAAGTGTTTCTTCAAGAAAAATTGAAAAGCCTGAAACATCACAACAAGACACAAATCACTATGATTATTCTTTGGCTATTGGAAATCTATCTGAATGAAATGGGACAGAAAAGAAATGCTCTGAAACATAGTGATGATAAAATTGATAATGATGATGAATATAAAACTCTTCAGATGTCTTTTCAACAATTTTTAACTCAGTCCAATGTCAAAGTGAGTTATCAGATGAAATATATTTTTTCATCAATTAACTCAATTAATTATAATGAAAATTTTAGGAGTGCCTTACTGATAACAAAGGTGCAGTTTACAACTTGATTTCTAGTCATGGAGATGAAGATAACCTTATTTATTTTACTAATCTAATGAAAGGTACATTCTCTTTTCTATACTAGTTCTGTAAAGTGATTTTACTTTTACTAATGAAAAGTTTTGTAGATTTTGAGAGAATTATTGCTTACAATCTACAACATCAGAAATACAAAGATGCATTAGAAGTTCTAAAAAAACAAGTAGGTCAAATTCTGTTCTAAGTATGTTTGTTCAAATAGTTTTTTATATTTTTTAAACTCTACAGAATAGGACAGAGTTATTTTATCGGTTTTCACCCCTTCTAATGCAAGTCATTCCAAAAGATACAGTAGATGCCTGGAAGTTGCGGTCACAGAAACTGAATCCCATACATCTGATTCCTACTCTAGTGCAATATAATGTTAATGAAAACTTTGAACAAGTAAAATTTTAATAAGTTATTTATATTTTATCTGAAATTTATATACATATGTTTTATATATAATAACTCTTTTTGAATGTGTACAGGTTAATGAAGCCATTCATTATCTAAGATTTTGCATAGAAGAACTAAAAAATCAGGATCCAGCCATTCATAATTATCTGCTTGCACTGTATGCCCGACTACAGCCAGAGATGTTATTAAGTTACTTAGAAAATCAGGTATTGTATAATACTATACATTTTGATAATCACAACTGATTATTAAAAATTAATTTTGTTATAGAAAGAACCAATAGTGCCCTATGATTGCAATTATGCACTTCGTCTCTGCACAGAATTAGGATTGGATGAAGCACGTGTGCACATATATACAACTATGGGTCTCTATGAAGAGGCAGTGGATTTAGCTTTAGAAAGAGTAGGATATATTTGAATGAATATAATCAAATGATTATGTTTTCTTAATATAAATAACAACAGATCCCAAATACTAATAATAAAAGATAAATTATGTAACTATCTATCAGTGTTACAGAAAAACACATTTAATATACAAGTACTTGTGAATTAAATGTATTTTTCCATAATGCTGATAGACAGCTGTGTAACTTATTTTTTATTATTTCTTAATAAGTTTTATTTTTAGGAAGATGTGGAATTGGCAATGAAAAATGCAGATAAACCAGAAAATGACGAAGAGTTAAAGAAAAAACTCTGGCTAAAAATTGGTAAAGATTTTCATAATTTTTACGTTTCACTTAAAAATTTTTTAATAATTAACTTTGATCAAAAGCCAAGCATGTAGTCAAGAAACAGAATGATATTACAAAAGCCATGGAATTCCTGAAAAAATGTGAACTATTGAAGATTGAAGACATCCTACCATTTTTTGATAATTTTGTGACTATTAATCACTTCAAAGTAAGTGTTAGAAATTAACCTGATAATATTCTACTAGAATGTTTATTAGATAAAAGATGTTTAAAAAGAATATAAATTTTAAAAAATTTATAAAGTGATAGTGATGGTATAGAAAAATGAAAACATTCTTCACTTTCATTTTTGGCTCAAATGAAGCTCAGTAATATGTTTACTTTCCTTTGGTACTCTTTGTCAATTAACTAATTAAAATTTTAAGTGGCATGATCACTTTGTGAATTTAGAATAAGGTCCAGAAAGTTCATTAATTAATTAAATTAAAAAGTAATTAACACTTCAAATATTATTTTTTATTTGTTGTAATTCACAGTATTATTTATTGTATTGTGCTTCAAGCAATCTTGAATTGGTCCCTTTTTACACTTTTTACAACAGTATCAGTTAATATTGTATCATAAGAAATGTCTCCAAAATTCAATAATCATCAATCAAATTATAATACAGATATCTCTTACTAACCTTGGCTGTTCCAAAACAATAAATTCTGTTGATAATAAGGAGCTAGGTGCCATTTTTTAACCTTTTGTAATAGTGGCATCTGTACTTCTTTATCAGTGTAGTTACTAAAAGTTTGAAAAATATAATAATACATAGTATGCCAAATAAGTAATGAGAAAACTAGCATTACATCCAAACTAAGAACTTTATTTCAATTTCGCAGTTACATTGATTCAAAATACCCTTGCACCTCCACAGAATGTTTACATCGACCATACAAGTTGTTGAAAGAATGCTGGAAGTCTTGATTGTGTACCTCCTTCAGTCTGTTAGTCACAGCACATTTGATGTCCTCAATGTCACTGAAACAATCCCCTTTAAAGCACATTTAATTTTTGGAAATAGAAAAAAGTCTGCAGGTACCAAATCAGGCAAATAGGGTGGGTGTTCAAGCACACAGATCTGTTTTGATGCTAAAAACTGTTTCACGGATAGTGCGCAGTGAGCCGGTGCATTGTCATGCAGAAGAACCCAACTGTTGCTTTGGAACAGAGACATCCTGACACAACGCATGCGAGCATAGAGATGTTGTATGACACCTAAGTAGTACTGTCCAGTCACTGTTGTGCCCTCAGGGAGAAATTCACGGTGTATCACTCCAGAAGCATCGAAAAAAACAATCACCATTGTCTTGATGCATGATTTCTGCAATCTGAGTTTCTTCTGCCTCAGTGACAATGTTCCATGCCATTCCATACTCAGGCGTTTTGTCTCTGGGTTGAACTGAAAACACCAACTTTCATCCCCAGTTACAATTTGTTTCAACAGATTAGGATTCTCATCAACTGGGGTGATGAAACTGGCACAACATACAGCTTGATGCTCTCTCTGCTCTTCTGTCAATGAATGTGGCACAAACCAGGAACAAATCTTTCTCTAAAATGGACCTGGCCTTTTCCTTAGTGACACCAAGTTTTACTGCAAGCATTCTGGTGGTAATTCGTCTATCACTGGCAACAATTTCTTTGGCTTTTTCCACATTTTCATCTGCCTGAGCACAGAGGACATCCAACACATTGTTCATCTTCTAGGATTCTCTTCTATTCTTAAATGCCAAAAAGCAGCAGAACACTTGTAAACAGAAACGTCGTACAAAATAAAAAAGAGAGAATAGAAACCATATTCCGTTGCCATATTAATTACATTTTTGATAAGGTCAATAAAATATACTACATGCTGCTAAAATGTACTAAAAGGTGCACCTGGGGACTAAATCATAAAGCTTGTAAAACTCTATATAAAGGGACAATACAACCAATGCTACTTTATGTGGCCTCTAGCTGGGGTTATGTAACTAGTAAAAATTCAGTAGCAAGTAAATTACTCTCTCTTCAAAGACAGTTTGCCATCAGAAATTCACTCTCTCACGCTGTAGCAGCCTTAAAAATTACATTCATGACAACGCTATGTAAAAGTAGAATCAACAATGGTTGAACAGTAAAACTGGTAGAATAACAAGACTTTATTTTCCTAGTCGTGACTGCAGGATCTCATCACCACTTAGAGATTTAACATTTGCTACTGCTCAACTACTTACTGGGCATGATAATTTTAGAAGCTACCTGGCGATGTATAACTAGGCAGAAACTGTTTCTTGCTTTTGCTCTACAGAAAACCAAGATACCGTCGACCGTATGATCTATCATTGTCTTATTTACGATCAACATACACTTATTCTGAAATTAAAAATCTTTACACTTGGTTTCAGGTTGCCATGTCCACTCAATAAGCTTGTTCAGAAGCTACTGTTTGATGCTTTTTACAATTATGTTCAAAAAACATGGAAGAAAAGACTATTTATAATTTCTATTTTAGTTTTCACTAAAAGCTGAATACTAATTTTATGTTTACTTTGTATCGTGTGTTTTGGTTTATGTATTCTTAGTGTTATATGCCCATAGTAGTGGTGCACTTATTCTAATAAAAAAAAGAGAGAGAGAGAGAGAAACCACCACACAGACTTTCTCCCAAGAAAAAAATGTGTAGAGCATGAGTCTGCTAGCGTTATTATTTTACCGTCACACGAGATGGCTTTAGTACAGTACAATGAGCGTTCTTAATAGAAACGGCCAAATTGAAGCCAAATTCAAAACTCTACCATTCAACAAGATCAAAAAATAAGAATATTACGTAAGACAAGATCTATTACCCCCTACCCCTGAGTAAGAAATCTTTCACTCCCACCCACCCCAAAATGCCTTACATAATTTATGGACGGCCCCTAAGCATTAAGTATGAAATTTATAAACAGTACAGTATGTTGTATGTACTGTACATTGATGCCATTCTTGCCATAATAAAATTGGGTGGTAATGTTACATTTAGTTAGAGTTTAATTTGTAATTTTTAAGCATTTATTAAATTTCTCTACTTCTGTATTTTATAAACTTTATTTTCTGATCAAAATATTGCAATTTGTATCATCAGTCTAAGTGTAATGAACTTTTCTAGTCAACAGATCTAAAGATATGTTTTGATATTTGTACACAATAATTCAGTTACAAATATGTATCCATGTAGAAAAATAACTATTATAGTGCAAGATACTCAGGTACTTATAAATCTCTTCTCCATGATCTGCATTGCAAGTGTACCAAGTTTAATTGGATTTGGTTCAGTACAGCTGGCTCCATGTACATCTGAATAGCATCATTTTAATAGTAACCATTGTATATCAAAAATTTCATTTCATTTCAAAATATTGTTTATAATCTCTTCAGAAGCAGAATCTAAATTAATGAATATATTTAGATGAGAACTTAAATTGATTTTATTCTTCCTTTAATCTCTTTTGTCTTTCTACTGTATTCAAAGTAAATCTTACCTTTCAACATTTTATTTCATTCCTGGATGTCCTCTACATCATCTATTCCTCTTTTTGATCAGATGTTAGAAAAATTTATTCAGATAAAACTCAAAAATGTATGGTGAGACTTAATGATTAAGAAATTGTGGTCCAAGTCTATATACACATATTTAAAATATAAAATTCTGTCAATCAAAAAAAGATCAACTCTATTATTATTATTTATATCTTTTTAGTGTGCACAGAATGACTCCAAAACATATTTTCTTTTGTTTTTTAAATCATATGTTGGTAACTAACATTGGGTACCAGGAATAGCAGAAGTCTATCAATATTATTATGCTTCTTTAATATTTTCCTCCAGTCTCTTGTCCACTACTTGCTTGTGGACACCTATGTCAGCATGATTACCAGATCTCTTGGTTTAGCTTTATTCCTAATTGTGAAGATTCTGTAATTTCTATTTTTTCCAGAGTCTGATATATATAATGTCACTCTTATCTTTCCACCTTACTATTATGTACCACTATGTAAAGTTTTGACTAAATGGATAAATTAATTATTAATTTTATTTATTAAATAGGATGATATATGTCAATCATTAAAAGAGTATAACCAGCACATTGAGAGTCTACAAGAAGAAATGGAAGAAGCTGCACAGAGTGCAAAGGAAATAAGAGAAGAAATACAAGTTTTGCGTAATAAGTAAGTAAAAATATACCTTACACAAGACGTATAGTATCTAATGTTTTTGGAAAAATGTTTCATTTTTTTGAAGAAGCTACAAAGAAAATAAATTTTAATCCACTCATATATTTGTATTATTTAATCTTATTAGATATGCAATGGTTAGTGCTCAAGACAAGTGCTGTATTTGTAATTATCCCATAATGACGCAGGCTTTCTACTTATTTCCCTGTCAGCACATGTTCCATTTGGATTGTCTTGTAGATGAAGTAAGTATTTGGATATAGTTTTATATGATATTTTCATACAAACAATAAATTTATTATATATTTGGAAGGCATACGTTTATCTCATTCCTTCAAAAAAGACTGCGGTAGATGACATTCGGGGACAGCTGACATCCATGAGTTCGAGGGAAGATGCAAATTCATCCGCATCAGGAAGCACTTCTAATAACCGAGAGAAACTTATGGTATGCAAAAAATGAATGTTGCAGTGATAAATCTGTATGTTCTAATAAATTTTGTGAATTCCAGGCTAATCTAGACAAAATAGTGGGGTCGGAATGTTTATATTGTGGCGATATCATGATCAGGTGTGTGTAAATTTATGTACATAATTTGTTATCGTAAGACTTGACTAATTGTTACATTATGTTTAGGAGCATCGACATTCCGTTCATCACAGCTAAAGACTATACAGAGGTTACAAAAGAATGGGAATGAAATAGAAATAGAAAATTGGTGATTTCTGCAAACATTCCACATGTAAATTATTATTATAAATCAAAGGTTTGTTAATTGTAATATCATATTTTTATTGATTGCACAAAACCATAATGCAATACATTCATTTTTGTAATAAAGAAATAAAAATTATGTATATGATTCTAACTTTAAACCATTTTTAATAACTTTAGCAGTTCTTTATAAACATATTTAGGTGCATCTATTCCAAATATGAAATCTATGTGAGCCCAATTAGGTAGACTTACTCTATAGCTTTCGATTAGATTTTTTATCTTTGTTTTTAAAAGATTCACATCAACAGGATCTGCCAGGGCATCATTTAATCCCCATAAGAGTGCAATTGGCGTGCGAATGTTCTCTACAGTATATTCAGGAGGAGTACTCTAGCAAGAAAAATTTTATTTAAAATATGTTTCATAAATGTAGTTCCACAAGTATTTTTTGTACTCAAAACAGTAACATAAAATTAACAATAGTCTGAAGTAGGTGCAATTGCATGTTATAAAAATTGCTGTACACAGCACTAGCAAACACCTCCCAGACATTTTCTGTTGGGTTAAAATCATGACTACATAATAGAAAACAGTCAAAAGTTGGAGTTGCTAAGTAATGAATTGGCAAAAGATGTGTGTATAATATTTCTTGATACTACCCACACCATTACTAGTCTTTCTCCGTGTTGACATTTACAGAATAGTTGCTTGTCAGGACCATCCCAATTATCATTTCGTCTCCTTATATGATCATCTAAAGCCCACTATAAGTGGACTTTAGGGTGTTAGTTTATTTGATCATCCAAAGTTTTCATCCAATTTCAAAAAATTGGCTGTTGATTCTCACAAACTCAGTGAAGAACCTCATCCCATAGCTTTATTCACTCTTTGAATTATAAAGAAAAAAGTCAAACAGAACTTAGGGCTTGATTTCTTTTCTTTTTGTCACTTGATAGGAAAATGACCTATATTTATGAAACAATATGTTGGTGTAAGTCATTGATTTGTTTAAAGTTCAGCCATAGCAGTTATATGCATAACTCTCTACCTTATTTTGTGCTAAAATATATCATTATTGTCTGTCATGTGGGGACTGACTTTTATATTTCAAATTAAAGTAAGTCTAAAACTATTATTACATTTGATGTTACTGTTTTTTCATAAGGAAAATATCAAAGTTTTGGCATATACCTGATTGTACTTTATTAGATTTTTTGTCTTTCCAAAATCATACTTTTGAAACTTTCTTGAATTCACCATCTGTAATTATACAGTAAATTATCAATTTCTTAATTACAATTTTAAATACAGTGGTGTTCCATAGTTTGAACAGTGCATGCAGTGAAAAAATGTACTCACTGCATAAATGCCATATGTTCTGCTCCCGAGTCATGTCTTGTAATTATGTGTTTTCAGTGCTTGGTTATATATATATACAGGGTGTCCCAAAACTTTTTGTGATTTTAAAAGAATCATATAATCAACAATTTGGCACATTACAATTGTGTTTGCACCAAAAGATTTGTCATATGGATTTTTTTTTGGCATAAGAAAAACTTTGAGAACAGTGATTGGGTCTTTACTTCATTTTGCATTTGAAACTATTTTCAGCAGTGAATCTTACAAAGTGCCTTATGCCTTATCTTGCATGTGTTAAACTCAAAAACTACTGATGATACCTGCACAACTTTTTAATTAAAGCATTTAACTATATATATATATGTATATTTCTGACCCCCTACCTATTAACCATGGCATACAAGAAGAATATGGAAGCAATGAATCCTAAGAGGAAGATTGTAGTATTAATGATTGAGATGAAACATGAAATGCAGTATACAGATGGCAAATTGGTGGTGTGTTCAAGATGCTGAAGTTGATTATTTACACAATTCTTAAGAATATGGAAGAAATAAAAGCAATAAATATGTCTAAAGATTGTGATAATGTTGATCTCAAAATCATATACTTCTTGACATGGTAAAACTCCTTCCAGTGTAGAAATAAGCAACTTGAAGAAATGGGACATCATCACTCCTCACTTAGGTACTCTTAAGTGCAATTTGTTATTTTGTTTCATTTAATTGTGTTATTTTTTGGTTGGACATTTGATTTTAGACCTATAGTAACTGTCATATATAATTTTAAATGAAACAAATTGTTTTAAATACCAGCCACCGAGGGGACAAGCTAGCCCATTAGGTGCCTATCCCAAGCCCAGTTAACAATAAAGGTTGGTGTCAGGAAGGACATCCGACCATAAAACTTATAAGCCAAAACCAAATGGAATAATGGATAAGAGAGAATATACAAGAGTTTAGGCATACCCCATGTAATGTTGCCAGAAAACTGTGACAGATGAGCTTGGGCTACCTAAGCAACGACACATTCAGTTAAAAAAGTTAGTCCAACAAAAGGAAACGAGGAGGGACTTGAATAGAGAGTTTAAGGAAAATATGCTTGAAAGAATAAAATTACTGAAAGTTTAATAGTCATATTATAAGGAATGTTGGAGAGAAAGTATTGGGCCATCCTATGGAAAAGAGGCTTAATGGTGGAATAGGAATGTGCAGTTTTCAATAAAAGAAAAGATGGGAACAGGGAAGATAAAGAAAATTAAAAGATGGCAAGCAAAACATAAGGCAAAAGCAGTGGATAAGCCTATGAGAAACTGGAAAGAAAAGATGGGAGTAGGCAGCTGATAAGAATTGTGAAATCCTCTAATGTCTTGTCCTTTGCTTTCACATCGATAAAACAGATAAAAGACGAGAATGGTAAACTGTTAAAAGACTGAGAGAAGATAAAAGAAAGATGGAAGAATTATTTTAGGAAGTTACTTAATGAGGAAAATCCAAGAGTAATATGCGAGGACAATGATGAAAAGGAGTGGCAGTAGATATAAGCGAGGATGTGGAAAGGGCACTTAGAAAAATGAAGAATGGGAAATCAACAGGAACCAATCAGATCCCGGCCGATGTATACAGATGTTTGGGCAAAGAGGATGTTAATATTGTATGGCATCTTATAGAAAGCTGTGGCAGCAAGAGAGGCTATGAGACAAATGAAGGAAAATATTTCACTGCCAGTTTATAAAGGGAAAAGGAATGTAAGAATTACAGAGGAATTAAATTGATGTTGCACTCAACAAACATCTGAGAGAGAATTGTGGAAGGAAGTTTAAAGCAAGAGACAGTTACAGAGAACAGTTTGGTTTCGTGCCAGGAAGAGGAACAACAGATGTGATCTTTGCTCTAAAACAGCTGACGGAAAGGTAGAGATACAGAAAGTACTACACACTGTATTCATAGACCCAGAGAAAGCATACAACAGGATGCTTAGACACTTCGTCTAAGCATACTGTTGTATGGTGATGCACGAGAGTAAAGGGAATACTGGAAAAGTATGTATGACTTGTGAAGGAAATGTATAAAGGTGCAATGACTCAGAATACTGTAGGCATGACAGGGGGATTCACTGTGAGATTTGGACTACACCAGGGCTCACCTTAGTCTATTTCTGTTTGATTTGTTGACGGATATATCGATGGAAGATGCAAAGAACAAGACCACGGAGTATGTTTGCAGACATGATGTTGTGTTAAACATCATAAGATATGGTAGAGCAGCAGCTGCAGGAATAGAAAAAAGTGATGGAAGAGAGAGGTGCATGATGATCAGCGGAGCAAAGACAGTATATATAAGCTATGACATCTGGTGGAGGGGATGAGAGTTATATACAACTCCAGGGTGAAAAGTTGATAACAACTTCCAAATTTAAGTATCTTTGATCATATGTAGCAAGTGATGGAGGAACGAGTGCAGAAATCCAACATAGAGTTCAGAGTGGATGACCAAACTCGAGAAAGACGGGTGGGGTGCCGTTGCTAAGAAATTAAGCTGCAAAACAAAAGGAAAATTATACAAAACTGTGGTAAGATCTGCAACGACATACACTGCCGAGACGTGGGCATTTACAAGAGCCGAAGAAAAGACACGAATGCAGAGACTGTCATGGTGGACAAAGGACAGAATTAGGAACAATTACAAAAGAGAAACAGTCAAGATGGGTCCTATAAGTAAGTACAAGCAGATTAAGACGGTTAGGACTATGTTACAGGTGATAGGGAGGAGTAAGTGGGGAAGACCGAAGCCAAAATGGAAAGACAAAACACCCCAGATAGAGAGAAATGGAAATTATGTGGGGTCGACATTCCAGTGTTTAATCTGTAAAGTGGAAAAAAGCACAAAGATTTGTGTTATCTTAAATTATATGTATTATCAGAATGGGTATTGTTTAAGGTCTGGGAATGGATTAATTCATTTTCCATTTTTTCTAACAGGAAAATCTGATTTGGATCGCGAACAAATTAAATTCAAAGTACGAAGCACCACTGTATTCTCTACTTAGATTTACCTGTGCAAAATGAACTATATTCTGCGTAGACGTGCCTGCCGGATCGTGCGACACGTAGACATCCAACCTAGTCTGTAAATCCCTCCACATTAGTTGAAATTTCACAGGTTATGTGGAAATATTTTCATCTAACCTGATTTAGTTGAGACGGATCAAATCCACTCATCAGAAAAAAGGCATTTTCACATAAAAATTTTAATTCGTTGTGTCTACAGAAAATATGAGACAGTATTTTCATAAGGAAGTTGTTTGGTAAAAATTCGTAAAATCCTAAAATACGAAAGAGAAACTAAAAAAAATATGAATTAGTATTTTATACAAAACCATTTGTTCGATTAAACACAATACTTACATTTATTTCGTGACAGAAAGGTGCGAGATAGCGGATCGGACTGGTTATGTAACCCACCGTTGCCACCGGTCCCAAGGCCATCACCGCTTTAATCTGCAGACCAAGATAATGTCACATTTTCAAAATAACACATTCTGGTACAAAACACACGAAGCAAACTTCACCTTGTCATATTTGGGTCTGTCCGAAAGAAGAGCAAAGGCGACGGTGGTGCCTTCGGAATGTCCTACGTAATATAACTGAGGTTTTCCGGTGACGTTTAGAGCAAATTCTACCATGGCGGGAATGTCGTATGCAGCATACTCGTCAATACTAAAGGGGGGAATAATGTAATCGTAAATAAATCTGGTGTTTGCTAAACCACAGTTTTATCAAAACTCGAAAACCAATTTTGAATGAGTAATAAAATCAATAACATTGCGTTTATTTGATTTTTTTTCCAACTAAAAGTACGTAGAATCATCTTAAAAGTAAGCATCAATGACGTACTACTAGTAAATTTAGGTGTACAATTACCATTTAAACATGCATCAGTTTATCATCCTTAACATTTAAAAAAAAACACTACGTATTACTGCCCATGATGTACTTAACTACAATACTTTAATGTTTTATTAATAGTTATTGCATGGCTTGTCCTTTCTAGATGTATTTTTGGGTCAGTAAAGACTTGAGAGTACGTCTAGAAAGAGGAGCACAAGCTTCCAGTGAAAGTCTCGTGCCAGAACAAGTGCATCAAATTTATAAATAATAATTCTACCGAATGGAAAACAGTTCGGCATACTATATTTAATAATTACTGGTTTTGTCGAAAACCGGTTAAACGATTTCGAGAGTTTCCTTTTTTTGTCGGCACTTAATACGACCATTTACTGTACTTGTTTTCCGAGCAGCGCATTTATGTTTCTTATCACGTATAAGTAGTGTCGTTTCGGTCTTTATTGGCGATAGGACACGAATCTGGTAAATGCATTTTACATTAAAATTGGAGAGAAAAGAAAGAAATTTTGTTTAGTAAATGTCGATGCTACAAACCAAATATGCATTGCCACGGACAGACCTTCCTCTTAATGTAAGCTGCAAATTATATTATAACAAAAATATTTGTTTCGTGCATTGATATTCGAACAGAATGATAATTTTACAACGTAACCTCATCCTATTCCTATTTCACAAACGTATCATCCTACACACTTTATTCCTCTTAGTGACGAATGTCTAAACCGGGAAACAGATAAACTTACCTAAATTCCCAGAACTGTCTATCCCGCGGAGAGTACTTCACGTGTCTTCTCGAATAAGTATTTCCTCTCTGGTTTCCCAGCCAAACGTCGTAACCGGCATCGGCGAGGATGAAACCTAATATAAATTACCATAAACGGGAATAAATCAAGTGTGTCGCCGACATAATTCAGTTTTCGCATTTGGATCTAAACAGACGTGAAACTAATCCTTCCCGAATCTAATTACTAATACAATGAAATACTATTTTATTAATGAACCATCAATGGATGCTGCCATACGGGAGTAACGTTGTAAGTTATAAATCGTTGGGAACGAAATTTAGGTCACCGTTTGACCTCCATTTAAGAAATTCTCACCCAGGCTCTGATCAGGAAAATTCATCACCCAATCCGCGGAAGAAGCCAAGAGACCGTGTTGCAGGAACACCACAGGCCGATCCTTGGCCATCCTCCCCAATTTCGACAAGCCGTAGGGTATCCTCTGAACGCCCAGAATGTATCCGTCTTCGGTCTGAACCAAATATTCTTCCACGGGATAACCCTTGCTGCTGATGAGTTGGCTCTGCAAAATATTACCGAGTCGTGTAAAAATATTAGAATGTAAAGAGAAATCCGAATTTCTGTCTTACACTTACCACATTTCTGTAACAATCGGGATCTGAACTGGCACCACTCTTATTTCCTAACTTGGAACAATCTGCTAAACATAAGAAAGTCAACACCAGACCGGAGACAAAATAATACATGTCCACCGTCGATCGTCCAATGTAATCGCCAATGTTATCGATCACGTTTGTGCGTTGCGTCGTTGTATTAACCACGTGATATTTTAACTTCTTTTTTTACGCGTTTAAAAAATACTACAAGCCTATTGGTCCACCAATCATCTCGTCGTCTTCGTTCGACCAATGCCGTCTGAAATTGGAAGCCACCGTCCTTCACCGGTTAGATTGCGCTTAAACTCACCAGATGGCGCACTTATTATTTTAACTGGAACCTAATTGACGCTAATTCTATTATTATTTTTTTTAAATAAAATTTTGACTTAGTCTAACTTTTAATCAATATTATTTATTATAATAAGCAGTTTAATTTTTTAAAATTAATAACGATTTCGTTCGAAAATCGAAAGACGTTTTACGAATTTTTTTCAGAAAAACTAAAAGTTCGTTATATTATAAATGTATTTTATAAAACGTTCGTTCCCATTAACCTTTAAACATTCGTTCGTTGTTTAAATTACTCTATTTAGAAATTACAAACAATGACGTAATGTCGTGGATTATTTATCGATAACGAAAACAAACTTATCGAATTGCTTAGGTCACCGATACTTTTTCTACTAACAAATACTTTAATATAAACTATAAATTTTGTTTTTGATCCGAAGAAAACGTGACGAATCGAGCTACTCGAATAATTATTTCTCTCCATTATACGATTTATGCCAAAACGTAAAGTGGACTTGGCTTTTACCATCTCTTCGGTTTACGCCGTCGTAAAGCGGGATCTACCTTACACCAATCGAAAAATATAAAATAGTGGTTTATCGCGGGTCGAGCCCGCCGGCATCGAAAGTGATTCTAACCGGTGGCGCAATTTTAATATGTACGTGGTTGGCATTAAATCATCGGACTCAAAAGGAATAATTTATGATCGAGGAAACTCGAAATGCGTATCGTCATTTCCATCAATAATACGAAGTAGTCGTTGATAGACTTGCAAATACTGTTCTAAGCACGAGATTTGTCTCCATTCCGTCCTCTTGTATTCTGGTTTCTTTGTATCTAAACGTAAATATAAAATTTAGCAGAAGAAAACCGAATATTTGGATCCTTTAAGTTCTTATACGTCGTTGTCATTTGTAACTTTCTCTTATTCGCGGTTATTTATTACACTAGAATAATTAAATATATGTGTATATATATACGTATATATATATATATATATATATATCGGATTTAAACATTAGGCATTTTATTATTTGTTTACAATTAGAAACAGAGAGAATGCCAGCGAGGAAAAAGATATTTTGGATCGACCTATGCTCCATATTTTTCTTACATTTACTTTTTAAATAACACCAGGAGTATGAGACTGTCTTTTTGCTAGTCACTTCCTAACCTTATCGATGATATTTTTGTCACAAAAATGTCCAAGTTACTATCACCTCGGATATTTCCTGATTTTAGTTCAAGATAATTGTAAATTCTTATCGATTTAAAATGAATTAAAACAAAAATTTTTCTTGGATACTGGAATAAGCGCAGTTTTACATTTTCTCAAATCTTAGAGAGAGTAAACAAGACTCCGGTTTAAGAGCGAGTAAAAAAGTATTGTTAATCTTTATTGCTACGGATACGAATTTTTCTGCAGCAACTAACAACTGTATTGTAAACACGAATTAAAATATTAGATATACTTTTCGGATAATCTGAACAATATAGTTCCATTAGTTCACACTAGATTGTCTAGAGAAACTATCCTACTGCTATCGAATTTGTATTAAATATTTGTATAGGTTTAATTATGGCTGCTTGTTGAATAATCAGAACAGATAATTCCATGGCAAAACTTTTTGGTCGCATAAATAATCAGATAACTAAAAACAACTTGTCCTGGAAAATTCGTCATTTCCGAGGTCAAAATTGTCCTACTTATCTCGTCTTAAAATCTGTAGCAGAAAAAGAAAGCTAACTACAAAGAAATGTGTAAAAATTGTTTTTCGCCCGTTTGTTTATTTGTTTCTTCACATTTCAATCCTTAACCATCAGATAAATATTTCACACGAAGCGTGCTTTACTCTTAAATAACAAAAGAAAGACGGTGACCAGTGTAATCTCCTCGATAACAAGTGCGACAATAATATTCTATAACAAAAAATTTATAAAACTTATAACAATTTTATACACGGCAATAATGTGTAAAATTTATTATATTACTTTACCTTTCTAACTTAATAAGTCCAATGTAAACAATGATATAATAAAAAAACAATTTAAGACATTTATTATTTGTTTATTTAATAAATATTTAATAATTTTTGGAATTTGTTTACGATGAACATTTACCCCCACGCGACCAGTGACCAGCCGATTCTTTTTTTTTTTAATATCCTGAATGTTAATAATTAGAGTTGTTTCGTGTTGTTCTAAAAATAAATTAAATAAACGTGACAAAATGATAGGAAACGTCTCGGAGAAAAAAGTAAATATTCCGTCGTCCCTCTTATTCACCGGAAAACCAATGCCATTAAGCTTTTAAAATAAATTATAGTTTTCATTCAATTCGTTATTTCTGTACAATTTTTATTTCTGTAGAAATATAAATAACTAGCAGATGGACCCGCTGTAGATCGGGTAACAACAGCATCAGAAATCAAAATTATTACATTATTTCGCACTTTTAACCCTTCTATTATGATATATTTGTAGTTTTTGATTTATATTTACAAAGGTAAGAGTTTACATAAGAGTTTATCACACCAAGTGCTTATCACGCATTTTAAAAATTCTTTAAATTGTATATAGTAGAGGAATAAAAAATTTTTAAAATGTATTAAATTGGTCACTTGGTGCGCTGAACCCTTACGGAAGATAACCTTCGTAGTTATATAAATAAATACTATAATATAACAAACATTAAAACAAAAACCATATAAAGAGTTTGGTTATTTCAGCCTACCATTGTCACGTTTATCGCGATACTCGGATGGTTACGAAATGGCGTAATTAAAAATATGATATATGAAAAATTGAAGATTAATATTTTCTAATGTTAACTCTAAGAAACTATACCATTTACAGCCGAATATCAAAATCTGCAAAATAATCTGCCAACCAATCAAATTTCGCGAAAAATGGACCAAATATTTATATTCGACACCCACGAAAACCGCTTAAAACATATTTTGTACTCGACAGTAACCTTGTATTATGTAATTTTCTTATTCGAATGTCACCATATCGCTGGTCCTATAGAAAGAAGGGGCTGTTGAGGAAGGGGTCGAAGTAATTCGACCAACAGTAATCGTTGTTCTCGTAAATATTGCTTTTATAGAAAAATTATTGAGCAGCGATTTAAAAATAATTGTAGATCTATAAATCCCGACTGTTGTCCCCTGTCTGTTTTGTTTATTTGTCTTTCCTTAATCTCGAGAAAGAAGTTAGATAGACGAAAGCACAGATCATATGTTAATGCTTAGGGGCAGGAGGCCCAGATTAATATACGAACTTCCGGTTTGGAACGGAAGTCACGTTACTTTGATTGAAAATTTTCCCCAAACAGAGATATATGACCGATATGGCTATAATTCTAATAAAAAGTATGATATACGAGGGCAAAACACTACTACACTCCACGCAGGCAAGTGCTACCTGTTACAGTAATGGCGTGTCCATTTCGCGGTATATCATTGTCGCAATAATTCGGTGAATATATATATATTTTTAAAAATTATATCCTCTTCGGTAATAATTATATTTAGTTAATTATTTTGTTAAATTTTTCCAGTAGATGGCGCTACGTGTAAAGCCAGCAATCAAATGTAGGCAGAAATTAATCGCTATATAAAAACCCAATCGATAATTTGGGGTGGAGTGTACCATATGGTCGTAAATCAAACGAATTGAACGTAACTGTCGCGTTTCGTAGCAACTGGTTGAACGGCCTAAGCGTGTATGGCGAACAAACAAACAAACATCCTCATTTATAAATATAGACAAAGATTCGAACAAATATAAAACTTTGATTTTATTTTGTAAACTTCGAAACGCATAAAATATCTTCATCACATGGTATATCAAAAATATATATTTTTGATATTTTAAAAAAGATGCAGTGGATCGGCAATAAACTCAATTGTTTCTCCTGAACGGTGAGTGTGTAAGAAATAATATACACAATTACTAAATTTTCAACTAACAATGTCATTCCACGTTGCCTGATTTTAGATCCGTGTCAGATGTTTTAGCACTGACAATTCCACAACTTCACTACATTTAATTATATCAAGAATTCTAATTTTTAAAACAGAACTATCTGTTGTCTTGCTAGCATAATAATATAGTAGCATGCAACAGTCTGTTTCCACTTTGTAAATATACCACTTAACATATAGACTAGCGAATGAGTAGCCAAGCCTGTGTGATTTGGAAATGTTACGTTAGCCCGAAAGTTACGTTATTTCAATTCAAATATTTTTCCCCCGAAAGGAATTAGATAGATGACCGGCACGACTCTATCGTTATAGGAAAAGTATGATATACAGGCGCAAGCCACTACTAATTTGAGGTGGAGAGCATATATTTTAAATTAAAAATATGATTAAAAATTGCAGTCCGGCAATGTGACCACATCGCAATAAATAATTGATTATTTAAAATGTCAATAAATTGATCTTTCAATGTTGGGTTTTTGCATTAATTAATTAAACAAACTCAAATATTTATTCAATTATTTTTTACGTCCTTTTCTATAAAACACAACTTTATGTAAAAGCATTTTCGGTTTTTGTTTATAAATCATACAAAATGAAAACTTCTAATTTTGTATATTTGAAAGTAACAACTTTAAATGTAATTTTCGAATTAAGTTAAATTAATTAAATTTTTTAATTGAAACAAAAACTGAAAATGTAATCGAAGAACTTATTTATTTTACTTTTATGCTACCTGTATGACTACATTTTACATATGTAATTAATATTTTTATATACCAAAAAGAAATATGATTTAAGCTTATTACTTAATTATAATTATAAAGTAATACTGTATTTATATTTTTATACTGAAGACATTAATATTATTCAATTTAATCATTTATTATTTTAATATACAGTAATACCTCTACTTACGCTACCCCGACTTACGCGAACCCGGAGTTACGCGATTTTCAAATGTCGTCGATTCGTCTTTTGTTTGAGCGCCACGCAACCCTTGATTACTTACTCCCCCACACTATTGTTCAGCTTACATGTTCGGATGTGTCGCGCGGAATTGACACATAGCTACAATTTATTTTGTGTGATTTATTTCTGTGTTTGTTATATCTACGGAGATTTGACTATGTCATCCAAACGAAGTAAAACTAATTCTGCACCAAACAAGAAAAGAAAAACTTTATCTTTGGAATGTAAAGTTAACATTGGGTATGTTCGTAAAGTCGAACGAGTTAAGCGAGAATGACGTCATCGTTATTCCTATTTCGTTAGATTTTTCGAACGATTTGTTACTAACGCTTTTAACTCGTTTGACTTTACGAACGTACCCATTATTAAAGACTTCGATACAAAAATGAAAATTTGTGAATTGGCAAAGAAGTTTGATCTACCGGAATTGTCGGTCAGAACAATTATAAAAGGCAAAGAAAAAATTCTCGAAGCTGTGAAAAATGCTCAATCTTTAAATTCAAGCATCATTCGTAAACGTCACAGTATTATCGCTGAGATGGAAACAATGTTAAAATTATGGCGTAATAATCAAGTAAATGTGAAAAATTGTAAAATAATATAGGCCTAATTTGTTATACATATGTATTATCTAAGATTTTATTAAACATTTTTTTCTAAATTATTGTTTTCTTTAGTCTCCGGCCCCAATTAAAAATTATTTGTATGTATTTATTTGCGAAATTATACCCCGACTTACGCGAATTCGACTTACGAAGTTACCGCTCGGTCCCACCTATCGCGTAAGTTCGGGGTATTACTGTATTTAAATTTAATTTATAATGAGCTAAACAATTACAATGATAAAAAGGTAAATTTATTCACTAAACTGACGTTTTAAAATGATGGAAATCAATTAATTTATTAGATGCGTGCATACGTCTTAGGAAGATTGTAAAAACTGCTATGTCGTCACGATAGGTTTTGTTTCGTGACGACATAGGAACACACGCTTTTACCGAAATTTGTTTACATCATTATTTATTTCACACTTTCCAGATAAATCAGCAATTTTTTTTAATTTTGAAAGATTGCACACAGTGACAACAAACAGATAAAAGCGTTACTTTATACAAAAACAAGCAATAAACAGGAAAAAAATATTTTTAATTAAAAAACTTAAAAAATAAATTTAGTATTGAATATAAAATTTTGACTGATAGTTCTCGGGAAAAAAGGAAATTGTATATATTCTTCATTACGACACAATTTTCGAATCCAACGTGTCATCAGAAATTAATAATTGGCCATAAACTGATATGTAATAAATACGCGATTTTATTTTTATTTATTGAAGCAATGTGACAAAACACACCAATAATATAGAGTTCTGTTACAAATGCAAAATCAAATAATTCAAAAAGTTATAATCGTTTTCTTAAAACACCTGAAAATGTTTAATAAAATGTATTTAGATACGTGCATAAGTCATAATGCATACTCATTTTGTTATTAATTAATGCACAAAATGAGTTGGTGAATGAACACACAAGTAGGTAACAATACGAAACTGGAAGGAATATGGCGTAGCCAATCAGAAGCGGTCTGTCACGGCACTGTATACATCTACCCACTATACACATTACACCATCTAGTGAAGAGCACTTAAATTATTCCTGTGCATGGTAGAAAATATGTGTGTCAAAGTCCTGAAGTTCGTGTGTCTCATCGCAGCACGGATTGCCAGAGTTTCCAGATAAGATACTCTAAAAATAGCACGGAATTTTTTAAAAGTAGCAAAATCCACAAGGAAGTAGCACCTGTCACTGGTGTCACGAAACTCTCTCCAAAAGCGCCACTGTCTGTGGTGAATTTGAGGTGACCAAGTGCCACTTTGAGGCGCTATATCTGTGAAAAGGCTTAGATGAGCCAAAAGCACTTTATATGAGCGCAAAAAATTCTACCACGAGTATTTTTGCAGATTTTAGTTGCGTGAGAAGAGTCGAATGTAACGGAAAATCACATGACACTCGGAAAGTCACTTCTCACAGTGCAAACGTAGCTACGGTGAGAAGTTCTAGCCAGATTAATTAAGACATACCTATTCTGTCGGGCATCACGAGTGGTATCTCGCAATTAGATCTCACATAGTAGCTAGAGCCTCGGAGCTGTTTCGAAATACAGGCTTTATTATAAGGTGTTTTCCTACTGCACAAATATCGGTTTTGCTTTGGCTAAGCCAAATAATCACAGCGTTAATAAGCGGTTCTAAAAGACATAAATAGAAAAAAATAATGTTAATAACACAAATCTTATCCATATATATAATCGAGATGGGTTGATAATAATAATAAGTGCAGAACCCAAACGGTTAGGAGTTGAAGGTTGAAATTTGATACACAGTTAGAGTACGTCATGAGAACGTACTACACTAAGAAGGGATTTTTCGAAATTTCCCCCGCGGGGGAAGTGTTAACAATAAAAGTGTTAAGAATAGAAGGGTTAAGAGAAAGCGACGTGCAAGATTTACAGGCTCAGATGCGGATTTTGCGTTTTTGCGGGAAATCGAACATATTTTTAGACCCATCTAAATTTTTTTTAATTAGTCTGGAAATAGGTGGACCTAATTCTTGCATTCTGTGAAAATGGGTAAGATTGGCTGTAATGTAATCATCTTAATCTTCTCTATCGTTACTTTTTGCCCGAGCAACACCGGGCTTATCTGCTAATTTTTATATAATTACTTATTAATTTCGGGGATTTCTTCGAGTTCGTACACCATCAATTAATTCATGATGTGCGAACAAAATTATTTAGTTTGTTTGAAAAATAAATAAATGTCTTTCTGTTCCGAGTAATCTTGGCATAAATTCTTTTACACTGATAAAACCAAGAAAACCATTTTTGAATAACTCTAGACCCCTGAATAACCCAATACTTTTCATAGAAATTGTCTAATTTTTATCACGTTAGAATCAGTGCTATTATATTGTCGGAGACCTCTGAAATGTTATTTTTAGAGATAGAATAAGAGACGGTATGTGATGGTAAACACTGATGAACAAATAGGAGTAATACAACATAAAGAATTTTCAATCGCGTCAAAACATCTGTACAAATATTTTGCGAGGTTCAACGTACACTTAATTAAACTTACTTTTTAAATCGCGTCATATACGTATTCACTAATCAAGTAATATTATATTTAAAAAACGTAATAAGTTTTAATAAATTATATATGAATTAATAGAATCGTAGAAATAACAGCGAGAAACCTTTAAAATGAATCAATAAATACTTTAATACGCCAAATGATGTTTTGTTTACACTGTATTAGTAATAATTATAAAGTACTGATTCATCCAATTCTGGTCTATTTTCTCTGCTTTATTAGATTATTTTGGATCAGTAGCGTAGCGTGAATGTCAGCCGCCCTGGGCGGAGGAAAATTTCGCCGCTCTCTTATTTAGGTATTTCAATTTAAAAGACTAAAATTCAATTTCGTCGTAAGTAATGAAAAATTCCGTGCTCATTTCAATCGGTTTGAATCGTAGGCGCGACAAAAATATAAAATGAAATGGTTCAAATTTTTACAAGATATTATTATTTATTGCGAAATTTTGCCGCGCCCCACTAAGCTATGCCACTGCTTTGGATACTCTTCACGCGTATAAAATTGCATGCCAGACATAAGGTTACCTGGCGCTTTTTTGTCATAGAACGCAATGGAACGGCATTCCACCACCTTTTTTCGATATATTTTAAAAGTTTTAAGAGAATTTTTGAAAATTTGATGTTTGGCCCGCGTTGAATCGCTCTGTTGAACATAATAATAGAAGATCGGCAACAAAATTATTAAGACGGTCCTGCTCCTGCTTGTGTGCCGAATCTTGTGTACGATGCATGCGTACTGCAAATTTAGTTTGTGGTGACTGTGACATACTGTCGGCTCGTGTTTGGTCGTGTCATAATTTGGCGGCAATGCAGAAATCGCAGTGCTAAATGCGACCGGTGACTGTCATTTCGATTGTTTTATATTTCACTAGTAGCCCGGGACGCCCGCTGGCGTTAGACTCCATCTCTTATCTAAATTAATAATTATAATTTTTAATTTAGATAAGAGATGGCGCCTAACGTTTACCTCTATACCAAATTCATTTGTATTTATTATTTAATTATAGCCATATTATAGCCCGATTAGTTAAGGCGTTTGTTGGTTTATTGATATATTCGGGCTTATTCGCGGCCACAGAAAAATCCGAATATTCTTCTATATTTGGTATTACTTCTGTTACACGAAAACTATTTAATAATAAATCATTAGTTAAAGATTCTACCTGAATCGATTCCCAGTGTAGTGTTTAATATTTTCATTGTACAGTTTGCATACTTAGATTGTCTGTTCGTTTTGGAAAAGTGGAACGACGCCCGATTTCCAAACAGAAAGAACAGAACGACTGTAAGTACTTTTGTGAGTTACAGATGGCCCACAGTATTTTTCTCAGTCCCGTGTTAAGAATACAAACAAAAATTACGAATAAAATATTCAAAGAACGTTTTTATCTCGAAACCACTTCCATCGTCAACCACTCATTTCGAGTATGAAAAAGTGAGTATTTCCACACGGGAAACGAAACTCAATTTTACAAAAGCAGAGAATCACACTGTCCGTCTGACAATCGACGACCTCGTGGCTAAACGATATCGTCACGAGTCGAAACGAACATCTTTGATTCAACGTTACTTGTCGACAGTTTAACGAACATTCGCATTGGCGATCTTAAAAACTTGACAAACCTCCAATGTTATAACTGTTTGAAACATCGCTATCTTGGGATCAGTTTGAATATTATCTTGTTTATATTATATCTGCGTTTTTATTGTGATAAGATGATTTTGTTACTTTTTGTTTGACGTAATATCCAATTCTGCGTTGTACTATGATAATAGTTCAATTATAATAATAGAAAATTGACATGCTACCGTTATTGTCGTTAAAAAGACTGACGGGATTACTTGGTTAAACATGATTATCGATATGTCATATTACATCGTCTGTGTATTCTTCTTGTGTTTCGTTCGAGCGATTCCTTTAAACTATTCTAACTACAAACCTGCAATTAAAGTGGATCCGGACTTCTACAGAAATGTCGTGAGTTACCATTTTCCGAATATTCGATTGAATTTCTTCTTTTGTTTATGTTAACGTTTCTGTAGAGTCAACTCATAACCAGCAAAGGTTACCCCGTCGAAGAATATTGGGTCCAAACCGAAGACGGATACATTTTGGGCGTTCAGAGAATACCTCGAGGACGATCCGATCCGGAACCGTCCCCAAAAACTCGTCCGGTAGTGTTCCTTCAACACGGACTCCTCTCTTCTTCCGCAGATTGGGTGATGAATTTTCCTCATGAAAGTCTAGGTGAGTTATTTCGTCACTGCGATTTTACGCGGAGTAAAATGAAAAATGTTAACTTTAATCTGATATCATTGTTTATACACGTATTATATAACTTGCTTTATTCTATCATTGTTAATCTCGTACCTTCTTATCTGAATGAAACTTTCCCTTTCATTTTGTTTGGTTCTGTTTTTGGAAAAAAATACCAAACACGAATTTTGGTTTGTTACTGTTATTATTCGCTTCAGGTTTCATCCTAGCCGATGCCGGTTACGATGTGTGGTTGGGAAACCAAAGAGGAAACACTTACTCAAGGAAACACGTAAAGTATTCGCCACGGGACAAAGAATTCTGGCAATTCAGGTCAGTTTAACTTATCCCGAAACCGTGACTTTTTTCATTCTTTTTTACTTTACAACTGGGTGCATAGGAAGACACTGGGCATCTTTAACATCATTCTTTATTCAGGAATAAATAGTGATGTTAAAGATGCCCAATGTCTACAAATGCACCCAGTTGTAAAGTAAAAAAGAAAAAAAATTCAGATCAGATTAGGACTCAGGTAAGTAGGTTCCGCATGGAGACAAATCGGACGACTTCCCTCTTTCCAGTTTCGACGAATTTGCCGAGTACGATCTTCCCGCCATGATGGAGTTCGCTCTGAACGTCACCAATCAAAGTCAATTATATTATGTGGGGCATTCCGAAGGCACCACGGTGGCGTTTGCTCTACTTTCGGAAAGACCGGACTACGATAAGGTGAGGAAAACGTCGGGAGTATACGTCTGTTACGTTGTAACTTCTACCTTTTCTGCAGATAAAAGTCGTCGTGGCTCTCGGACCCGTTGCCACGGTGGGTTATATCACCAGTCCCATCCGTTATTTGGCTCCTTTCGCTCCCATACTAGACGTGAGTGGCGACGAAGAATTTATAAAGGTTTCTTCTATTTCATTTATAAAAAAGTTTCTTTCAGCCTTTGTTTCGGCTTTTTGGATTTTACGAGTTTTTGCCCAACGACTTGATCATGAAATTGTTGGCTCGCTTTATCTGTGGCAACCGAGAATTACAATTCCTGTGCGAAAACGTCGCATTCCTAATCAGCGGATTCGATCCTTCTGAGTTAAATAAGGTAAACTTGAGACATTTCTTCAGACAAAAATAAAAAATAACGAGACACGTCTTTCAGACTCGTCTGGAGGTCTACGCTACGAATTTTCCCGCCGGAACATCCACCCAAAACGTCGTCCATTTCGCTCAGGTGGTATTAAAGTTAAAAAATCGAGAGAAGGGATGAGGTTGGAGAATCTAAGTAACAAGAAATTCGACTATAATATATCTATTTTTTTCATTATTAGATGGTGAATTCTAAAAATTTTCAGATGTATGATTATGGAAAAACCGAAAACATGAAAAAATACAATAAGGTAAGATAAAATTTCTTTTGTATGTTAATTGAGAATATATATCCGTCTTCTTTCCATTGATACAATAGCGTTTTCTGTTATAGACCACCCCACCGGAGTACAATGTAGAAAACATTCGAACTCCAGTCGCGCTCTTTTACGCATTAAACGACTTTCTGGCAGATCCCGTGGACGTGGCTCTCCTTCGTATGAAACTGAAAAATCTGGTGGAGTGTTATCGAGTGAGTCTGCCCACGTGGGCGCACATTGATTTCGTGATCGGAATGGACGCGCCTGGTTACGTCTACCAAGAAGTGATGAGAATAATGCGAAAGGTATAATTGCCCATGTTTCGTCGTCGCGAACTTGTCGTTAAGAAACTTTGCAAATTTTGACTAATCGTAATATTTGAAAATATAATTAAATTTGAATTTCCATGACCAAGTCTGGTCCCGTGCGCAAGTTTTTTAAAAAGTGGAATTTAAAATACGCAGATTATTTCGGCATGTCGTAGTTCACTAATTTTTATAATGTAGGTGTGTAGTAGTTTTCTATTCTAAGTCTTGTCTGGCAATGATTTCTCCAATTGCAATATTCACTATTGTCATCACTACATTCTTGTTGAAAACACAATTTCTTCGAGGGTCGCGACATAAACTGTACAATGTCAAACGTACTATAATTTTTTACTATTTCCTTAAGGAATTGTCTAGTGTTCTCAAATAATAAATTTCGTATGTTTTTTTCCAAACTATTTTGATAAGAATGGAAATCTTATTCGTTAATCAATCCTCGTGTAAAGTGGTTTTGAGCAGAAGCTATATGAGAAAATCTAGTAATAAAATTTTAATTGTAACAATGTGACTTTTAGAACGGGGAAAAAACACCTGTCCAACTAACTCAATTGACGTAATCATTAAAGAAAGTGTTATCGACTGTGAATATTAACACTAAGTTCACCGAAATTCTGCAAGAACACGAATGAGAAATGTTTCCTTGATATTTCCGAGAGACCGAACCGAGGTTATTATTCAATATATAATATAGATGGAGAGCTGCCATTGTAATCACCTTTCGTTATAGACACAACTGCTCTGGATAGGGCGGCGTTCCGGTCGTTCAACAAGCAAAGTTTGCGAGGACGGCATTAGCGCTTGTGCATTTTTAAACAGTTTTGTGTTTTTTGGTTGTTTCACTTTTATTATTTTTTTGTGTTTTAGTATAAAATCGTCAGATTCGGTTTTATATCGTGGTTTTAAGAAGACGCGGCGGAAACTTCAGCTTTTTAAGAAGGAGAACGCATGGCGAAAGTCGTTCTTAAGAAGAAGAGGTGCGGGAATTGAAAATGTGTAAACTTCTCATATAGAAATTGATTATGCTAGAAAACCCGCTCAGTTCTTAGCTGCAAAAGTAGTTGTTATGAAGACAGCGAGAACGATGGTAAGAGATTTCTGTGAACCCACCAAAAAATTGTTTGAATCACGAAACAGAAAATTTCCTAGGAATGAAAAGGAACTGTAATCGAAGTTTTAACATCTGCGTTTCAAGGGAAGGTTCGTAGTAAGTTTTAAGCGTGGTATAAAAGGACAGTTATTGGAGATACCTGTGGAACCAGAGAAATGGAGCTTGGTTTACAATCCGTATTCAAGAATATTTTTCCACTTTCCCGAATATTTGACAAGAAAGATTCCGAAAAAAGGGAATTTAACATCAAAAAATGTGATGATGTTCACTTCAGAACAGAACGAGACACAAAGAAACGAAACAATTTTTTTGCTAATTCACATTACATTGAGTACCATAATAAAATTTTGGATAATTCTATGTAAATATTGCTAATATGCTGGATATTGAAGTATAGTATACGGTATATTTTTTCATTCTAATTTTTCGTTGTTTTAATTTAAAAAATCATTTAACTTTTGCTTTCTTTTGATTTCGCTTACATTTCTATCGTTTTCTCTTTAAAGACGATTTTCTATCTTTTGATTTCTATGCCTTCGACCTAGTTTCCACCAATGGCGTTTTGGTCTTGTAGAGTAAGTCAGTGGGGTGATAAACCTTTAATTTTGTAATTGTGTAAGGTGTTTTTATTATTGTATGCATTCAGCTAAGTCATATTGAATAATAAAATGTCTTCGAAAGTAATTTGAAATTAAATAAGACTGAAACCTTGTAAATTTCTTAAAATACTGTAGGCCTATAATCAGTTTACAAAAGCTTTGAGTTGTGTTGTAAACTGTATTATATGAAAATTTGGTTAATGTTACTTTAGGTTCCAAGATGACGGCGCATCCGGTCGCCATTTTGAATTAGTATCGAGACTGCGCGGAAAACGATATTTTGATCGGNCCTCTTCGGTAATAATTATATTTAGTTAATTATTTTGTTAAATTTTTCCAGTAGATGGCGCTACGTGTAAAGCCAGCAATCAAATGTAGGCAGAAATTAATCGCTATATAAAAACCCAATCGATAATTTGGGGTGGAGTGTACCATATGGTCTTAAATCAAACGAATTGAACGTAACTGTCGCGTTTCGTAGCAACTGGTTGAACGGCCTAAGCGTGTATGGCGAACAAACAAACAAACATCCTCATTTATAAATATAGACAAAGATTCGAACAAATATAAAACTTTGATTTTATTTTGTAAACTTCGAAACGCATAAAATATCTTCATCACATGGTATATCAAAAATAAATATTTTTGATATTTTAAAAAAGATGCAGTGGATCGGCAATAAACTCAATTGTTTCTCCTGAACGGTGAGTGTGTAAGAAATAATATACACAATTACTAAATTTTCAACTAACAATGTCATTCCACGTTGCCTGATTTTAGATCCGTGTCAGATGTTTTAGCACTGACAATTCCACAACTTCACTACATTTAATTATATCAAGAATTCTAATTTTTAAAACAGAACTATCTGTTGTCTTGCTAGCATAATAATATAGTAGCATGCAACAGTCTGTTTCCACTTTGTAAATATACCACTTAACATATAGACTAGCGAATGAGTAGCCAAGCCTGTGTGATTTGGAAATGTTACGTTAGCCCGAAAGTTACGTTATTTCAATTCAAATATTTTTCCCCCGAAAGGAATTAGATAGATGACCGGCACGACTCTATCGTTATAGGAAAAGTATGATATACAGGCGCAAGCCACTACTAATTTGAGGTGGAGAGCATATATTTTAAATTAAAAATATGATTAAAAATTGCAGTCCGGCAATGTGACCACATCGCAATAAATAATTGATTATTTAAAATGTCAATAAATTGATCTTTCAATGTTGGGTTTTTGCATTAATTAATTAAACAAACTCAAATATTTATTCAATTATTTTTTACGTCCTTTTCTATAAAACACAACTTTATGTAAAAGCATTTTCGGTTTTTGTTTATAAATCATACAAAATGAAAACTTCTAATTTTGTATATTTGAAAGTAACAACTTTAAATGTAATTTTCGAATTAAGTTAAATTAATTAAATTTTTTAATTGAAACAAAAACTGAAAATGTAATCGAAGAACTTATTTATTTTACTTTTATGCTACCTGTATGACTACATTTTACATATGTAATTAATATTTTTATATACCAAAAAGAAATATGATTTAAGCTTATTACTTAATTATAATTATAAAGTAATACTGTATTTATATTTTTATACTGAAGACATTAATATTATTCAATTTAATCATTTATTATTTTAATATACAGTAATACCTCTACTTACGCTACCCCGACTTACGCGAACCCGGAGTTACGCGATTTTCAAATGTCGTCGATTCGTCTTTTGTTTGAGCGCCACGCAACCCTTGATTACTTACTCCCCCACACTATTGTTCAGCTTACATGTTCGGATGTGTCGCGCGGAATCGANTCGTAGTTCACTAATTTTTATAATGTAGGTGTGTAGTAGTTTTCTATTCTAAGTCTTGTCTGGCAATGATTTCTCCAATTGCAATATTCACTATTGTCATCACTACATTCTTGTTGAAAACACAATTTCTTCGAGGGTCGCGACATAAACTGTACAATGTCAAACGTACTATAATTTTTTACTATTTCCTTAAGGAATTGTCTAGTGTTCTCAAATAATAAATTTCGTATGTTTTTTTCCAAACTATTTTGATAAGAATGGAAATCTTATTCGTTAATCAATCCTCGTGTAAAGTGGTTTTGAGCAGAAGCTATATGAGAAAATCTAGTAATAAAATTTTAATTGTAACAATGTGACTTTTAGAACGGGGAAAAAACACCTGTCCAACTAACTCAATTGACGTAATCATTAAAGAAAGTGTTATCGACTGTGAATATTAACACTAAGTTCACCGAAATTCTGCAAGAACACGAATGAGAAATGTTTCCTTGATATTTCCGAGAGACCGAACCGAGGTTATTATTCAATATATAATATAGATGGAGAGCTGCCATTGTAATCACCTTTCGTTATAGACACAACTGCTCTGGATAGGGCGGCGTTCCGGTCGTTCAACAAGCAAAGTTTGCGAGGACGGCATTAGCGCTTGTGCATTTTTAAACAGTTTTGTGTTTTTTGGTTGTTTCACTTTTATTATTTTTTTGTGTTTTAGTATAAAATCGTCAGATTCGGTTTTATATCGTGGTTTTAAGAAGACGCGGCGGAAACTTCAGCTTTTTAAGAAGGAGAACGCATGGCGAAAGTCGTTCTTAAGAAGAAGAGGTGCGGGAATTGAAAATGTGTAAACTTCTCATATAGAAATTGATTATGTTAGAAAACCCGCTCAGTTCTTAGCTGCAAAAGTAGTTGTTATGAAGACAGCGAGAACGATGGTAAGAGATTTCTGTGAACCCACCAAAAAATTGTTTGATTCACGAAACAGAAAATTTCCTAGGAATGAAAAGGAACTGTAATCGAAGTTTTAACATCTGCGTTTCAAGGGAAGGTTCGTAGTAAGTTTTAAGCGTGGTATAAAAGGACAGTTATTGGAGATACCTGTGGAACCAGAGAAATGGAGCTTGGTTTACAATCCGTATTCAAGAATATTTTTCCACTTTCCCGAATATTTGACAAGAAAGATTCCGAAAAAAGGGAATTTAACATCAAAAAATGTGATGATGTTCACTTCAGAACAGAACGAGACACAAAGAAACGAAACAATTTTTTTGCTAATTCACATTACATTGAGTACCATAATAAAATTTTGGATAATTCTATGTAAATATTGCTAATATGCTGGATATTGAAGTATAGTATACGGTATATTTTTTCATTCTAATTTTTCGTTGTTTTAATTTAAAAAATCATTTAACTTTTGCTTTCTTTTGATTTCGCTTACATTTC